GATTTGGCATTGATTATGAATTCATATATTTTCTATTCATGGATTCAATTATATTCTAATATATTATTAGAATAGAAGTTTATGCTATCCTTAAGATACATCTCATGGATGTGATAAGTGCATATTTGTATGGTTTTTTTTATACAAATATTTATATGAAAGTTCTTCCTAGTTTGAAAACAAGAACTCCAAATGCACTTGCTCTAGGACGATATTGTGGTATTAAATTACACAAGGCCATGTATAGTCTAAAATAATTTGGATGCATGTAATATCAATATCTTCAAGATTATTTAATTAAAAATAAGTTTGTAAGTGATCTATTAATTCCTTATTTATTTATGAAACGAGAAAAAATTGATTTTTTGATCATCACTGTATATGTTGATGATCTTGACCTAGTGGGTACTAGATTTATATGTGATGTAGCTACTAACCTACTTATTTGTGAGTTTGAGCTGAAAATTCTAGAAAAAACAAATCTTTTTATTAGTCTTCAAATTATGCATCTCACAGATGGTAGCATTTTTTTCTACCAACTAATATATATTAGATGAATCTTACAAAGATTTAATATGATTGATGCTTATCTATTGTTAATGCTAATGGTTGGACATGGTTATGATGGTCATAATCCATACCATCCATGCAAAGAAGAAGAGGAAATATTAGGAAATTAATATCTATTTTTTGCAACAATTAGAGCACTTTTATATTTTGTCACATTTACAAGATCAAATATTGTATTTGCACTAAGTATACTTGCAAGACACAATGCACGTCCAATACTATGACATTGGAATGACATCAAATATTTATTACATTATTTAAAAAGTATCAAAGATTTGGAATTGTACTACATACAATTTACAAATCCAAAATTAGTTGGATATTCTAATGCATGATATAAATCTAATATTACAACAGCTCAATCTCAAATAGGTTATGTATTCTTAAGACATGGAGTTGCAATATCATAGAAATCAATGAAACAAACTATAATTATAACTTCATCCAACCATGCAAAAATTATTGCTTTATATGAAGCATCTCAAGAATGTATTTAATTACGATCAATTCATAAACTTATTCAGACAACTTCTAGACTTTCATATGATAATTCTTCAACTATCTTATATGAAGACAATAGCGCTTGTGTTGCACAAATATAAGTTGGTTTTATTAAAGGCAATAGGACAAAGCATATTAATCCAAAGTATTTTAGTTATATCTATGACTTAGTTACTAATCAAGTACTTAAGATCAAGAAAATTGAATCTACAAATAACCTTGTTGATTTCTTCACCAAAGTTCTCCCTTTGTGCAACCATCACCGACTTACTTATGGCATTGGCATGCATTGACTTGCTTTTCTTCACCAAGAAAGTTAATGAACTTTTAAGATAATATTGTACTCTTTTTCCTTCATCTATGGTTTTTTCCTTGAATACAATAAGATTTTCTTAAATAAGGTTTTAATGAGGCAACAATTGTTAATCTTGTAAAATTATAAAAAAGTATAATTTCTTAAAATATAGAATATATAATCTTGTAAAATTATAAAAAAGTATAATTTCTTAAAATATAGAATATATAATCTTGTAAGATTAAAAAAAAGTATAATCTTTAAATTATGTTATTTTATTAATTAGCTTATTTGCAGGTATGAATAAATTTAAATTAGACATAAAAAAATTATTTGATAGAAGATCTAGCAGTATTTAAAAATTTGTTGAAATTTTATTTATTTCTTTGATAGCTATATATTCTACCATTATTTTTGTATTATTTCTACATACATTTATAATACACTTGAAATTTCTTTATTTTTTTGAAACTAAACTAATTTATTTTCAATAACAAAATCAATTGAAGAATAGAAGACAATATATATTATGAGAGTTTTTCACAAATCTTTATATTTTAGAAATTTAGAAAGATAGATTATAAAAACTTCTAAACAATCTTGTCACTAAAAGTAGAAATAATGTTATAAATATAGAACATATTTTAACTTTAAATATTATAAAGAATCTTTTATAATTATTCAAAAAAATAATAAAGTATTTTATATGATTTCATAAATTTTTATGTAATTTTTAGAAAACTTTAAAATCTTTAAATTTATTCTTTTAGCTTCTAAATAAGTTTTTAATAATTAAAAATAACTTAGAATCCTTTTTTAGTCTTTTAAAAACTTTAATAGAATATTTTAGTTATCTATAACTTTTAACAATCTTCAAGAGATATTTAAAGAAGATTTTTTTAATATCTAATTTTTTCTATAATTCTTAAAATCTTCTATAAAATTTTTTATAGGATCTAATTATTCTAATTTAAAAATAGACAAGACAAAAATCTTTATTTTCTTGCTAACTTAATTTTTTGCTTGATTTGTATATTGGTTTGTTCTATTGTTATATTTTGTCTTATTTCTAATCCAACATCAACTCGTATTTACTAATAGTTATTTTTCAAAAAAATATCATAATTTTTTTTTAAAATAAACAAAAAATATAACACAATCTGAGTGCATTATATTAGAATTTTTTTTTTTGAAATTATATAAAACAATGTCAATTAAAAAATTGTTCTTATAAATTATTATTTATAATTTATAGTAATTTTAAAAAACCATTTGAATTTATATTAAAAGACATAAATATATTTTTATTTTAAATATAAAAAACTTCAACTTCTTATAAATTTCTAAAATAATTATAAGACAACACCCTCTTTTATTTTTGAGAAAGCTTTCTCCTATGACTAACTTCAATAGCATATATGTAAACAAAACCCACATCCATTCTCAGATTTGAACTCAACTTCTTCCTAACATTAGAACAGAATGCATCATCCAAATTTTTTGATTACCAAGATATTCTTCTTTCTAATACTCTAAAACATTTATCTTCCACTCTACCAGCCAACTTTGAAATTTTCAACGAACACATTATGAAATATTTAAAGATTTTGTTTCATATATATATAACATCAATGATTTTTCATTGAAGTGAAATGATTGCACGGTCTTGTGCTGATTACTACTTTCTACAATAAATTCTGATTCTTAAACGTTTCAACTGAAAACGAACTCATGGAAACAATCACACTGATAAATTGCACTTGGAAGTTGCATCAGAGTTAATATTTGGTTTTATTGTTGTTTAATTTCATACCATAACAACTGATAATCGGAGTCTTCGGCATCACAGACGGGTAGTGATGAAGAGTGCAAGACTTCGAAAGCATTCGGCATTGTCAGTGTCGGTGAGCTTCAACACAAAACGACGACGAGAGTCGAAGCTGAGTAGTGGATTCCACCGTTGTCGAGACCCCACGTAATGAAACTCCATGCAGAGTTGCCTGTGGAAGTTGAACTCGCACATGCAGCGATGGCACTGAACCACGGAATCTTACACGAGAGCCTCTTTCAGGATCTCCATCTCTCGCTACTCCAACTCGCGATCGTATGTCTGACGACGTCAGATGCGGCAGCGAAAATCTTTTCTCAACTACGCATGGAACTGAAGATCTGGGGGTGAAAATCTAAGATCACTGCCTCATCAAGCCAAGCCGATGAGGCAGGCTGGTGTTTGATCCTTCGAAGCGAGTAAGCGAGATGCTAGTCTAATGAAGGGGTTCGTGTTGGGCCTGAAATGGAAGCGAATGGTGATTTTGAAGCACTTCTGTCTTCAACGGTCTTTGGATGATTGTCACAGAGAATTTAGGTTTGCTTGGAGTGTCTGTGGATGCTTGACTTTTGTCTAAATCCAACGTTGGAATACCTTAAACCGTCAACTTAACGTTTCTCGGAGAAGGGGGGATTTGGTTTTTTTTTTTTTTTTTTTTTTTTTTTTTTTTTGGGGTGGAGAAATAAGGTGATGATGTGCTTAGAATTGCCGCAGTGGTTTAATTGATGAAAATTAATAAACCAGTTTTTGCATTTGAACCTTGAATCGAGGCGTATACTTGAGCAAACCCGTCTACTTCCATCACACTAAACTACACCTTTCATCCTTGTAAAGTTTGCTAAGGGTTCGTGGGTTTGGAATGTATTTGGAATCTTTGTACAGGAAGAATGAGCAGTTTTGGACGAGTGCAGTTTACGTAAGGTCTACGGGTTGGTTCAGGGGCATGACACAGTATTTAGATAGTTGTTGCCATTGATGCATTTTGTCTGGAAAAAATTGGAAGAGTGATATTGATTTTGTTGCAGGGTAGTAACCTCGTCGTTATCATTTTTTGAAATTTGTCAATCATTCTTTAAATTGTGGTTTCAAGTGAAATCGCTACCATGAGCTGAACCTACTACTGAATGTATATTTGACAATTTGAGTTTCTAAACATTAGAACTCTACAATCTGTTCAAGAGTTGGTAAGAAAGAGATAAATCAAATCCTACTTGCAAGATTATTGCTTACGGAAGTTGCTACTCCAAATGAGAAGACATGGTTGTTGCATTGCAACTTGTTCTAACAACATTAGGCCATCTAAACCAAGAATTTGTTGTGATAAGGTTTGTCCACATATGGCTTGTTAACAGAGGGCTTATTATATGTGTATATATGTATTTTTTTTTTTTTTCTCAATACATTAACCTTGACGTGCTTGACAAAGTTTGACAATACTCAGCTTGCATTTATGTTAAGTAAATAGTTGTCAATATTGTACAATGCAACAAAAATTACACCTTTATTTCAATTTAAGATCCTTATATTTTATACTTATTTTTAAAATATAAATTTAAGAAATTTTAAGAAATATTATTAACTTTCTATGTGTGTATTTACACATTCTATTAATATAAATTTCTTATGTAGAGAATAAACAAGTAATAATCTTTTCACACTATTATGTGATTATGCTAAAATAAAACATACTACTTTGTGAGTTTTAAAATAACTGCATTCCATATCAATTTTTTCTATATCTAATATGTAGCTGATACGTTGTAATAATTATGGCCAACTTTTCAGCAAATATTTGGAAGAACAAAATAAATAAATAAATAAAAATGTTTATAGATTTGAAGAAGATATGTACACAACTAAGCTTAGGAATGCGGGGGAAAAAACCGTTCTGGAATCATATTACAATTTGAAACCGTATTTGGAGTGCTCAAGAACTATATTTCTTGTTTCGAAACAAACTAGTATTAAAAAGAAGTCGTGTTAGTAGGCCCATCTGAAGCTATAACCTGAATAAAACAGTTCGCTAGGTCACAAACCATTGGCAAGGGTTAAACCTCTTAGGTAGTAACATGTAAAAGCCCACAACCGGAAGATACGTGTTCCTTGTAACATGTGCACAATTCCAGAGATTAAGGGACAATCTCCCATAATCCATCTGAATAATTCTGGACAATGCCACTGTCATCGTCGAAAACGTCTCCCAAGTGAGCGCGATCTCTGATGAGATCTGGGAGGTGTCGAAGCCCTCCTGCGGGTAGAGAAGTGATTATCATCCCTGCTGGTTGGATTTGTTGTTTTTGTCCGCCGCTGCAAGTCATCAACGTGCTTTCTCCACAACGACTCGCGCTCTCGTCGCGGCATTTTGCTGTAACGCGGGTCTAGTTTTAATACCTTCTTAGCTTCGTGCCAAGAGTCCAGTGGTGTTCTCCCCTCCTCATCGTGCTTGGCAGCAGCTTCGGGAGTGATCAGATCTGAGAGGAGCGACCGAAAGTCTCGGACACAGCGCTGACCCAACAAGTCCCCAAGAGCAAATTCAGAAGGTTTCAAGAGTGTTCGAATATACAAGCAGATAAGTGGCATAAGTATGTTCGATCCTCAAATCCTGGTAAGTACAAACTTGTGTGGTTTTACGCACCCTGTCAGGCTAACATACCATGTGATTTAAAAACGTTAACACTTCAATGACTATAGGATTTAGGATTGGAAGCATACACTATACAATCCATCAATATGCACCCGAAAGATTCGCTCCCTCTCTGTGGCATCAATGTTTGAATTAGAAGCACGACCCAAAAGATTCTTCTCTAACTGGGTCCGCGCTTCAGTCCAAGACGTCTGTGAATGTCAAATATAAGAGCCATAGAATCAATACACAGCAGAGAGCTAAAAGCATAAAGTTAAAAACTGTCGATGCCTGGAAAAAAGAGCCTATGCACGACTACCAAATCCACCAAAACATAAGCAAGTCCCATGGTTAGTATTGATATTACATATATAAAAAGGAAAAAAAAATCTACGCATGTGCGCTGCACATAGTATGTTAAAAATAAGCGCTACTCTTCATCCCCTCTAAACGAAGGAACTAGTGACAGAGTCTACCTCAGGATCCTTGATTTTCTCAGTCAGAAGAGCTTGATAAGCTGATGCAGCATCCTTCCGACGAGATTTTACACGCACTCTCTCAAGCTCTTGTTCCTCCCGCTCCTTGCGCTTACGTGCATCTCGTTCTTTCTCTTTCGATTTCTCCTGTACCAATGCCATCAAGCGAATGAACATTTGTTCAAGGAAAAAAATTCAACGCCATTGATGTCCATTTGCAATCCAACAGAAGACCATGGTTGATTTTTACGAAGTCATTTCTGTCATGCAAGCCAAGTATGAAACATTGACGCCAAATATAGAAAATCATGATTGGATTCGTCGATGAAAAACATGAACGAAGGTATCAGTAATCTCTACATATTCCATTCTGTAACAATAATTTACCAAACAACAGCGTCATACATGCCAGTGGTCATAAAGTCAGCGTTCTAAAACTTCAAATATAGAAAGTGAGCTAACCTCTTCCTTCTTAGCTTTAGCTGCTCTCTCCACTTCAATCTCTGCTGCCTTCAATTCTGAAATAATACCATTGAACAGCACTTCTCTTTCTTCCCGCTCAACAAGCTTGTAACGAGGATCGGAACGTAGATTTTCTTTAACCTGAATCACAACACAAAAAATCAGACAAACAAGAAACCAAAAGAGAGCTAATTTAGGTGTATGGACCCAAAAAAAACTGTGTCCAATCGCTGACTTAAGAGTATAAATAAAATTTCTCTGGCTCCACCGATAATGCCATCAACCCTGAGAATGCGCCGGGTGCATTGAAGGCAAACACTACATCTTTCAAGTTATGGACTTCATAATGGGAATAATAAAAAACAATAACATGGATCTTAACTCAAAGCAGCCAACAAGCCATTGAAACCAAATACCATTAAGTTGTTCGAGACCACAAATAAATTAAACCCCAAGAAAATAGGCCACATCGCCACTCGATTCCATGAAACATCCTTTACCTTGGACCAGCGACTAGTTGAATTGATATCACCCTTCTCTGATACAAGAGCTCGAAAGCCAGCCACAGCAGCAACACGTTCAGCTCTAACTCTCTCCTCCTCAGCCTTCCTCAGTGGAGCAACCCTGCAAGCCAACGTGGATAACTCAAAAGCTGCCTAAATTTCGATTTTTACGAAAAAAGATACAAGATACAGAAAGCATTAGACACAGAATCGGAACATGAACGTAAACAAACCGCATAACTCGATGAAATGCTCAAGTGAACGATTATCCAAACATAAATATAACATGCAGCCATAACATAGAGAACGTAGAGTATCTTGAATAAACACAAAAAAACAAAACGGCCTAGAAATGAAGGAAAAGACAGGATATACTCGAGTCTGCGTCTGAACAGCGGATACAAGAAAGAAGAAACTAAAATCTATTATAAAATAGCGGTACAGAAATACACAACACACTCTGATAAATAAACCTAAAATCAATAGATTGAACACTCCCCACCACATCCATTCTAAAGATAAAAACTATATTTCAGAGAAATGGAAAAAGGAAAAGGAAAAGGAAAAGAAAATAAACAAATAAAAAATAAAAATAAAGCAAGTTCAATCGGGTAACTCAGTTTGATCTCATCTGTGGAGAGTCCCACAAGTTCCAGTAGACCTAGCAAAAGGTAAATTAGCAACGATGGACTTTTATGGCCTGGTCAAGCTACAAAACGTATGCATTAGGCAAAGATATTGCACCTCTATTCCTGTAAAATTATGGCCATAATATATTGGAAAATAACATAAGAAACGCATGCTATCCAAAGACCATGCTGAAATGTGGGCATCGGAGCAAGGAGCTAGTGTTGGTAACATACATAAATAGGAAGAGCGTAGTCCATCAAAACAAACTAATAATTAAGGGTCGTACCAGAATACGACTTTAGTATTGAAAATGGAAAGGTGATAAGAGATTGAAGTTGCTCGAATGGTGGACGAAAATCGTCATAAAAGGGGAATGTATACCTGATGCCACACAAGGCTCGGCAACATCGCAGAGTGGGTCAGGGTTGCTTCTTTAACATCCACATAAACATTGAACCATATATAATGTCAGCTAACCACTCATATCTTTGCAATTCCTCCTGCTAAAACTGACTGTCTAGGAGGATTTATTCATCCGTAAAGCAATCAAATGAAAAGACACTAATAGATTGTCGAATATTAGCTCAAGAAGAAATTTGTGTTTCTAATCCAAAAATCCAAGGTTCAAAACGTACATCGGCACGATGTGCAATCTCGAAGACTGTAAAAACACCTTGAATCGTTCTATACTATTCCTACAACCACAAGTGACGACCATCGAAATCACACCAATATCTGACATATACAACATGAATGTGCAGGTATTGATTAAAGATTCGGGTACAATCTCAAGTGAAGTCTCAGCGCATTTAACCATGCCAGAACAATGCAGACAAAAGATTTTCAAGCAATTTTAGGTACTAAGAGAACCTATCCTCATTTCTAGTCATTCACGTGGACTGACTGAAAGAAAGCACACGGACACATTGAGGACCATCCCTTAATTGGACCACATGCAACAAAGATCAACAATACAAAGACATCACCAAACCTGTCGTTCAACAAAGATTCTCGATGCTTCCGCTCCAGAGCTTCAAAGCGAGTGTCATGGCCCCATTTTCTCACAAAACTATCATACGTAGTTGTGTGCGAGATATCCTGGATAATAATATCAACCTCGTTATCAGCGACTCCTGGACATTACAGACGTGATCATCAATGTAGACAGTCGGTTGAATGACATGACACACCTATCCCAAGATGAAGCCCCTCGTTGATCCGTTTGGAATAAACTTCGCATTTCCAAATCCTACCTTGAAGAATAATCGTTTGTACAGGATTCAATTATGCTCCATGAGAAGCATCAGACTTACAATCGAACAGCTTTCAATGCTCAAAAATTGCAACTCAGTCCATTACGACAGGGTTATATGAAGCACAGATCTTTTGAGGTTGCAACCTACCAGAAGACTGCAATAAGTAGACAACTGAGCTTAAACCTGAGAAGCCACATCTCTGCAAATTGCTGGAAAGACCAAAACTGTATAATGATGAAGTCAAAGCTGCAACAGTTCAGCTGAAGAACACAAGAGATACCACCCGTCCATCGCCGACCCTCCCTCCAAAAACAAGTGGAAGTTCATCAAAGTTATAAGGAATGAGACACCATCATAGACATTACAGCTGAAAGAGAGCATTCGACGACTTCTACATCAATTACTGATAGGTAAGTAGGGAGAAAGAGGAAATAGTTAGAAGGAAAACCTTTGCTGCTTCCTCCAAAAGTTGCTTGAATCCTTCAATGGCAGCCTTTTGTGCAGCCCGCTTCTCCCTTCGCTCAACGTCAGCCCTTGTTCGCACGTAGTGTTCAAAAATAGACCGCCTCTCGGTATGACTTGGAATAGCCTACAAAAAAATCCGTATAGTTAAACTGCAGAACAATTCATAAGATATTACAGAGACCTTCAAAAAAATAAAAAAATAAATAAACTACTATTTAGAACTTGCATTTATAGTTAATTCCAGATCACCAAACATAATCAGCCTCAGTTAGCAAAAAAGTGAATCTTCCTTGCGCTGGAAACTAAAAGCTAGTTCGCTTTGTACACAACACACGACACAAGCATCCCCATGGCAATACATTGACGATGACTAATGCAGTGTTACAATGAAACGTTGCGCACCTTGAATCGTGGATCGAAAATGATTTTAGGCAGTTCTTTTTCCCATTTCGAAAATGGGGCTACTCCCTTCTCCTTCAGCATTTCCTGCGACAGGATCTAAGGTTTTAGCAAAAGGTACATCAAAGTATTCACCCACAACAAAGCAAAATAATGTAAAATACACATAAATCATACCAATCCAAGCAAGCAGCTGCCACTACGCAGTCCAACTCCATACAGGCGTACTTCTGGTTAAGTGAAGCCTGTTAACAGGCAAATTGTCTGAAGTCCCACAAGAGACACCAAAAATATAATAATAATTATTACTACTATTATTATTTTTTTTTTTTTTTTTTTTTTTTTCAAAAAAAATCACCGTCATCCTTGCAAAGTCACGTCACACAACCAGCTGATGACACAGTTGAACCCCTTGCATATAGACAATATACTCAGGCCATAGGTTGAAACAAATGCAGCCTCTAGTGATTAATATTTCAAATAATTTCATGGTCGAAATATAAGGGCCAGAACATGCTGTGCAATCTGGAGGGACATAAGCCTGATGAAAGTTATTTAATTGCAGTCCATAGAGGTAAGCAAAGCTTCCGTTTTCATGACGTGGTGAAACCAAATCTTACCTTGAATTCATTAACTTTCTCCTCCTTGGTTGCCCCTGGATCCTCTTCTTCACTATCAGATGATTCTTCTGAGGATTTATTATCACCTTTCTGGGGCTTATCTTTTGTTTGGTCAACCCCCAGACCCTTTCCATTACTAGCATCCACTGACGATACACCATTTAAGGTATTTCCTGCAACTGGAGCGGTCCCAGTTGTTGGTGACACCGTCACTTGGGCACCTGCATCTTGCAGTTTTTTCTTGATGAGGTCTAAGGCAGAATCAGCACCAGGTTTGTGCCCCGTCGTTTCACGACCACCAGCTGATACTGATACGTTGAGGGTAAAAGATACAGGACTCTTATCTACAGGAGAAATGCCAGTAGGAACGCTTTCAAAGACCAGCTTCCCAGAAACCTCTTCTTGATTCATACGAAGTTCAGCAACTTCGGAAGGCACTTCCCAACAACTTGCCTGAAAATTGCAGTCAAATACCCTCAGTAAAAAAGCCAGAATTTAATCTGAACTCAAGCAGATTAATTGCATAAAACCCATCAACTGCATTATCATCAAACAAATCCAACCCCTACATCCTGCCAATGCGCCGCTAACGTAGCACGAAGACTTCCTCAGTCATTTTCGGTCCAAGATGAAATTGCTGAAACGAAACACCTTCGTCAAGCTTAATGTCAACGAAATCAAGCTCTATTACATCGCAGACTAAGTACTTGTGATCCATTACCTGACTTTTTGTGTTATAGTAGTACTTTTTGCCATCGTCAGTTGTCACTAGCGCCCAGTCAGTGGGACTCAGACGCTCCCTGTCTCACATCAAACCAACATCTCAGTCCTCTGTTCCCAACATTGCTTCATTTAAGCAAACATTGCATTCTAAACATTAAACAATTTCAGTCTATGTTACAGTGTTTCTGCAATTAAAATGCAGCAGATTATAAATGAAACATTCCCTGGTTTCTCAACTTTACAAAAAACATATCATCTTTAATCAACAGCCTGCATTAATGAGGATCCTATGAAGGCCCGACTAAGCAGTTCGATTACACATTCACATCTAGTACAAGCCAACCAGCAAGGACATTCAGTACCAGATATTTAGAGATATGTAGGCATCAGCATAACTCTCCGGTGCAAAAAGCAGATAACACCCTGGAGGTCCTCACTCACCAAGAGACAGGCGTGGGATGCGTTGTCACCTTCGCTGGCTGCGCATTCCAAATAATACATACCAGCAAAAATGCCACCATAAGTCTGATGCAATGATTCCCGGTAAAGCAAGGAACTGGAACATGATAAGCACACCCATCAACATCAGCTGTTAAAGCACCCCAACCAAGCGATTCAATACAAATAGATAACAACCGAAATACATAAACATTATAAATCACCATAACAATTTAAATTTAGGAGGTTCGAATAAATAAAGAAATAAATATGTGCCTCGGCATGTTACCTCCCCTTTGAAACCATCAGGTCGTGTATAAGTGGACTGGGCAGTGACAGAATTATAATAATAAACTGCTCCATTATCAGTCTTATGAGCAGTCCACACATCTGCAGGATCGACAGCAACCTGACTTGGACCCTTCTCTGTCTTTGAACCCGACAGATTTAACTGGTTGTCTAACAGAGCAACGGAACGTCTACTACTACCAATTGGGCTCCTAGTTGAATCAGTCGTCGTCGTCGTCGTCATTATAGGGGACCTTGCAGCTGGTGGCCCAGGATGCTCTTGTGTCCAGATCACAGGACGCTGAGCAACTTGACCAGACGTTAAAAGACCTGGAGCAGGTCCTACTGGCATTGCATTGACAGACGGTCCCAAGGGACGCATCTGTGCCTGGAGAGGTCCTGGATAATTGCCGGGATAGACCATGTACGAGGGACGCTGGAATTGTTGCGCTGACTGCATCCAGGGGGGTCCCATTTGTTGCAGAGGCCCCATCCCAATATTGGATGAGTATCCATGATAGGATGGCTGCTGAGGGGGCTGCTGAGATGAGACAATATTATTTGGAATACCCTGGTGTAATCCAGAAGAAACTGGAGTAGATGGCAACATCCCTGCATTTGAATCTTCGTTTGAATTAGGCCTAGCTAGATTGGAACTCAGAAGCATGCCATGATTTGGTTGCAATTGGGAAGAATGGGCACCATACTGAGCACCAGGTGTCGTGGGAGGGGCAAATATCTGAAGCAACACAGGAGAGAGATGATCATCACATAACAATGCTCACAACTTGAGCTAAGCAGACCTAAAATTGATCTAGAAAAGAAAATTCACTGGGTTATAAACAAATCCACATCCTGAGTTCTCAAATAGTATCTGAGCATGCATTGTAGCTCCGAAATGAGACAAGCAACTTACAGGTCGAGCAGCTGAGTTACTAGCGTTAGGATTTAGATTAAAAGTATTTCGTTGTGCAGCGACATGCGTGGGAGGCCCAAAAGGAGGACGTTGCGGTGGCCCTTGACGATGACTAGCAGCTGTATTCCAAACTTCCCAGTAACCTTGTGTGGCAGCCATGGGTGTAGCTGTGGTCTGCGTTGCAGAAGCCAGTCACGCGGGGATGTCCATATCGTCCCCTACAAGTACCAAACACTCGGTTGAGAGGATCGAAACCGGAAAGATGATCGATTACCGTTGCGATCACCTAGACTACAATTAATTTCAAGAGCAGCTAATACAAAACCTCACGAATAACCAGCGTTATTACGTAGAAAATTCACCAAAGCTAAAATAAAATTATGTCAAGTTTGCTGTTGCAATATAAGGACTTTTACGTGTAGCACAGCCCATCGGACTAACAGCCTCAAATTCACTATCTTCGCTCGCATGCTCAAAATTGTATTGATGAAAGGTTCAGAATAGTCGATTCCAACGATGAATAATCCCGACGAGCCAAAAAAAAAAAAAAAAAAAAAAAAAAAAAAAAAAAAACTGAAACGGTGAAAGCTGTAGGGCAAGTAGCAATGTTTTTCCGCAATTTCCACCAAGAAATCCCTCAAAGAAAATCCCCAAAACCTAACTCCAACAACATGCCAGTCGGGAGCCTGCGCTCAATCAGATGACCTTAAGTGCAGCAACAGGCCCTCCACACGATGCAAATGCGTAGATCGCTCGATCCAAAAAAAAATCTCGTCTGAAGCTCCAGATAGAGTGCACCAGTAAGCTTTCATTGCACCTCTCATTAGCTCTGATCGTCATGGAGACTCTTCCACGAAACAAAAGCACCAAAAACAAACCTCGATTTAATCCCTAATTAAGTGAAAACGACTCACAAAAAGTGCGCTCACCTAAACCATCAATCCAGATTGCCAATGTTGCGCACAATTCCTCAGCTTCTCAGCCTCCTCAGGAAATGTCACTCACAGCAATATTCTAAACCACCTCCAACCCTGGGGAGTCCAGCCAAGAAACGTCCAATTTCGCAACCGAAAAGCGCAATTGAACAGGAATTAAAAATGCAGATCAAGTGTGCGAGACGGAGAACGGCGGGGTGATGCAATCCCACCTCGGATCGAAGAGGCTACACGACGATTGTACCGCGCTCGGAAGCGATTCAGCTGTTCGGCAATTGTCGCAACCAGTCCCATTAGAAAACATCCTCAGACTCCCTTCCACCCGAGCAGGGAACTACCACCCGGGTGTGTTCCAATCAGGAAATCTCTTACAAGGTATGACTTCGGCGGGGTGATTTGTAGGGGTATGAATCAGGATATAGATCTCCTAGTCCCGATATAGATCTATGCTGGGTGTAAACGCAACAGGCTTTGTTTATTCATAATAATTCAAGACATTGTTCATTTTTAATAAAAATATATTTTATTAATTATAATGGCCATCTACCCCTAGTTACTTTTGACATTTTAGAAACTAAAAACTATGTAGAAACATAATCAATAAGTCAATTTCTGGAGTTATATACAACAATAGGAATGTCAACAATAGAAGCAAACAGTAAAAAATTAAGTTAGATATTTTAAAATAAGAAAATTCTCTACTTATAATTGGCAATAAAATATAAATACAAAAACACTAAAGAATTTCAAACCAATACTATTACACAGAAGTATTCAACAGAAACCATTCTTGTTATCCCAAAAAACTTCTTCTTTAACTTTCCTTTGTTATTCTTAGCTATACATGAATTAATTTCATTTTGGCAAGTGTGTACACCTTTGTGTTTCTAATAAATGTAACAATTGCTCTTGGTAATAAAATTTTTTAAATGTTTTTATTCATGATTCTTGTAAATAGATTGCATTATTAGTTTTCTATAAAAACCATTAAACAAAAGAGTAAAAATGGGCAAATAATTCTTGTCTTCATCTCAATATGGAGTTGGGAAATCCCATCAAATCCATACATAATGCATATACTAAAGATATAATGTAATATAGCAGAAGAGAGATTTCTCCCATACACCATACATGAAGTATGTTTTCAAGAGCCCAGTAAAGGATATCCCTACCTCAGCATTGCCCAAATTTTCTTCCAGCCAGAATTGTCAATAGTGAAACAGTTAAAATACACACTCAGAAAGCGTGTTGAAAAACAATTCCTACCACTTGTAACAATGCATCTATAGAAAAGCACAAGCCTGTGGCACACATGCATGAGGGCAAATGACGAACAGAGAATGGAAGCAAAACGTTCTGATGCAAAGGTGTAGTACAAAATAGTGAGTAATATTCACTGATTTCAAATGATGGTTTGAACGTTAGCAGGTGATGTGGTGACTGCAAATGTCTAAAATCATCTGTTTTCAGATACAGGTAACCACTGTGTATTCTGAGAGACAGGTGGCTCCTCTTCGGTCAACACTGAGAGCGGCAATCTCTTGTTTAGGTTGAATACCTCCATCTGAAATCATAATATATGAAAGTGGTCAAGGGCAGAATGTCGTAATAATAAACAGCAGAGAGGTATTCAGATGGTCCTGTGTGCGTATAAGCATACATTGATGGGCAAGTGCGATAATACTTGCACTCATTTAAACAGAGACACAGCCACTAATCGATCAGCTTTAAAGAGGAGATGCATGGCTTGATCAAAAGCATAAAAGAAAAAATAGAAGAAGGCTTCACCTGAAGCTGAGAGGATTTTGCCCTCTCCGTAGCAAGTGCCTCCCTGGTCGAGTCCAACTCCTACAAAAGGTCAGGTGTTTGGAATTTGAGTATTCTTCGTAAAATTAAATATCAGGAATTCACTCCCACAATCAGACCGTGGTTATGATTTTGATAAGGTTGTGTTTTTAGTTAAATTTTGCATCCAATTCCTGGATAAAGAATGACCGATTGAGAATTTTCTTCATATTAATATTATAATAAGAAATTTTGGAGGTTGTATCAAACCTATGTGCATGCATTGGGTCAAGGACCCGTCACCTTACCTACAAATATGGGCCCAATGCTACGTTACCCCTTTAGGGTACAGAGAGAAGGCAACTTTCAGTCAAACTTTGATCCATGAGCAAAGGTGCACCGCATTTGGTATAAACAGGCATCAAACAGTCCTATATTTAGAAATTTCACAACTGAATTATGGCTAGGAGTGAAATCGATCAATTACTATGACATAGAGCAATGAGTATTTACTGCTATTGGGGTCCTGTTAACCACTATGCGGATAATTTGACTATGCAACAAACACAGCGGGAATCGACAGTCCAGAGCTCAATGTATTCTACACATACCTTTTGAGTGTCCTCAAGCACGGCCTTGAGGAAGGCAAGGTCATGTTCCAGCCGCAGATTCTCCGAGTGAACCAGATTGCACAGATTGTTGGAATCTTCTTGTGCTCTCTCTGCACCAGCCACCGCCTCTTTGATTTCTGCCTGTTTCGTTAGTGCAACAGCAAGCTTCGATTCGGTTTGCTGCCGGGTCTGTAATGCGGAAGCCAACCTATTCTCTGCCTCCTCTTTACCTCGAAGAACAGTTGTAAGTTGCCCTTCTGCTTGCTCACCCCTGCGCACAGCAGCTGCCAGTTTAATTTCGAAACTCTGTCTGTACTTGTTGATCAAGTGGATCCGCTTCTCCATGGTCATGGCATCCTGGAGGTCTGCAAGGAGCTGACTGTCACTGCATTCCTCTTCTCCTTCCCAGCGCTGGCTTTGAGGCGCCGTGTAGAGGCTGTACTCACTCCTGTCGCTGGCATAAGATCTAGTTCGAATGCTCAGATCAGCATTCAACCATGAAGCCCTTCTTGAAGAATCTACGTACGCGGTGCTTTCATTCACCGATAAAAGGAGGGGAGAGTCGAATGATCCCTTCCTCCTAGATGAACTTCCATATCTCGTAATTCCTGAGCTTCGCGTAGGAATTGGGGCCAGCGTGTCTCTCATCTCCAGGTCTGGAGGTAGCGCATCAGGGACCTGCCAAAATGGACATTCTTAGTATCTGCCTACCATTGTCACGAAATAACCGTTCTAAGGTACCATGTTTCTTGACTACTTGGAAAGTGTGCCAAACATGCTGTTAGACATCACAAATTAGTGTGAAAAATTGCGCTACCAAGCGTCGAAATACAAACGAAAGTACCAGGAGCATCTCACTAACCTTGCAACTGTACAGTAAAGGCGATGGAATCTCATGCGACGGGGTTTCTCTCAGCACCCTTGATAAAATCTCTCCAGGGGGCTGAGGTGTGCCATCCTTTTTGATGCTGTAACGTCTCCGTGAAGACACAATATCAGCAGTATTAAGAGAACTTTCTGTTAAAGGAGAATTGCCTGGTGAAACACGTGAAACATATTGTTCTTCTGTAAGAGGAGTCGAACGGGTCTTTGCCACCCCTACACATGCACATGACAGTCCTGACCTAGCCATGCTTGGTGATTTGGCCGAGACACCACTATATGATGAAGGCTTCACATGATTCAAGGGCGATACATATAAGACTTGCACCTGCGTAGCAGACCACAAGAAGATGGACAAACTTAATCATAAAACCATATTGTCTAAAGTCAACTAATTTCCATAAAAATGGAATGAATATAAACTAATTCGATCCACATGTTTGCACTCACGTCTATATATCTGGTGGGTATGCTAACGTCTTCCATAATGTTTACGATGCATCTGAAAAAAACACCTATACATATTGCGCTAGGGCTGTCAGCGATTATGTCTTAGAAGACGATTCTCAGTAGGGAGAATAACAGGCACCTGGTTAGAAAGTTCAAACCCCTTTCCTCCAAAAGCTACAAGCATTGTCTTCTCCTTTCGTTGCACAAGCACCAAGCTCAGACCCTGAAATAAACCACATATTGGAGACTACACATATCAGGTCACGTTCGTCAGTTCGAAACAACAAATCCAACATAGGCGAATCAAATTTTTTGACAAGCGAGTGTACCGACCATGTTCCGGAGCTTGAAAGCGAAAACGGCAACCAGGACACTAACATGCTAAAGCACTTCCTGTAATAAGCTAACTATGAATCAGTACTTGACATAGTAAAATCCAATATGGATACCTGCAAAACCAATGCTGTACAACAAATGGAGAAAGATTAGAAACCCTTTTCACAACAGCGAATATTGTGTCACCTGATTAGTAACAGTTGAATTTGGAGCAGTTGCAGCAACCGTGGACCAAGTTAACTTGGTGACGTCGAGCATTAGTGTTTCTGTTGAGCCTGCAACATATTCATGCTAAACTTTCAAATAATAACAGACGTTATCCATGAAAAAATGAATGAAAGAACAGCTCCAAAAAAATGATTTGGAAATATTAAAATCATAATACCTATAAACTCACCGGAATCACGAGTCTCTCCACCTGCAATGTACCATTTATCGCCAACCAAAACACCGGCATGGCCAGACCTAGGGGAGGGAATAGTGCCCTTTGTTTTCAATTTAGACCACTCCATCTACGCAACAAATGAACCTTTCAGTATATTCACTTATTTTCACACGGCACAAAGCAAACTTCAGCATCCTTAAGTAACCATAAAAATAAGTCTTTCACTGTCCAAAGGACTCTTACAGTTTCAAAATCCAGAGCGCAAAGATCACCGAGAGGCTTAGATTTGGAAGTTCCACCAAATATTAACAGAAAGCGGTCATCATACATTGCAGCACAGTGCTTTGTGCGTGGTGAAGGACCAGTACCCCTGCACCATGGTCCATAGAATCCTTAGTATCTACTGGAGATGAAGGCATTTCTTCAGAAAAGACCTGAAACCTAGCGTTGTAAGCTCTAGAAATTTTATACCAAAAGAATAGGTTGTGATCAACAGGAAAATCCAATTGAAGAACCTCTCAGCATTAACAGAAAATAAACTTACAAAGTGTGCAAAGGCAGCCACATGAGAGACTTCAGGTCAAGGATGTGGAGGTCATTCAGTTTCTGGCCTTTCGGTGTTTCTCCCCCAAACATGATAAGTATGCTCCCTGCTCTCGTTACACTCTGACCACTTCTTGCTACCTGAAAACGTTGTACAAATCAACATAGATCATGGAGAATTCTAAGCGACGTAGACCTAAAGACAGAAGGACATTGAACCAGAAAGAATAGTATATCCTTAGTGATATACTACAGTCTTCTAATTGAACTGGAACTTTTTGTCATGAAATTTAATCGGTGATTGCGACTTTGCACTACAAAGATTTATAATTGTATGGAAGACACTTTTTGGGATTGGATATCTGGGCAACAGCGATAGATAACAATCTCTTCATTCTGATCAATACAGTAAAGACAAGTTAGAAATATACAAAAATATCTATGTATCATAGGATGAAGAGAAAATCTGGAGGGGGGTACCAAGCCACTTACCGGAATTTCTCCTTTTGTAGCGACTTTTGTCCAACACTCTGTCTCCACATCGAAAGACCAGACTGCATGCAAGAAATATCTATCAACATAAGAAAGTAAAAAATTCGCATTCACAACTTAGAAAGGCTCTGTTAAATTTCTAATCAGAGTCTAGAGATAACGAATTTATTGTGCTCAAATGTTACAAACACTATTTAATGAGAGTAGAATATTTCAAACGTCCTAAATGCTGATTTCTCAAGCGAAGATAAGCATTAGGACACAGGTTGCAATACAATACCTTCAACTCTGTCACTAGCCGGATTCAATTCTCCGCCAACCAAAAGAACAGTTTTTCCCCACGAAACCTGCATCCTCAGATACGTACTTTTTATGATCAACATTGGTACAGACTACGGCACACCGAATCTTCCTATCATAAATTCAAATAGAAAGTGGGAAAAGAGAAGCGTCTACCAGACTGTGACCCCTGCATCGGGGCACCCACCCTGGCGTTGCAGCTTTCACATTGCAAGCTTGACCCTCTGCAACTGTCCTCGCTCTACCCAATTCAGACCACGTCATTTTGCCGAGGTGAAACATCTGCAAACACAATCAACATTTTTCATATGGTAATAAATACAAAAAAAATCGATGAAGAATATAAAGTTCCTCCCAAACTCAAGGTGCTCTTCATATTTTACAACATAAGCACCTGCACATCGTTGCTCGAGCCCAATTCAGTTTGACCACCAACCACCACCATCCTGCGCCCCACAACAGCGGCTGCATGCTGCAAGAGCCATGGCCCCCGTATTAAGATTCAGCAATCTCCGGAACCAAACCTTCAAACACATCATACACAAACGCTTTGAATGGTAGAGAAAACGCCACACAAGAATGGAACCAACTACCAATTAGCAGCAAGTACGACAAGTATGGGAGAGTAGTGGTCAGAGAAAATGTTGATGCAAGAGAATTCCCAACGACTACAAGAAAGTATTGTGGAAGATGAAGTGGAACTTGGGCAGGAGCTTACGAACTGTCGTGGCACGGGTTTTTCTCCTCGAGGGTGCACATTGTTCCAACCATGTGAGTCGCCAACGTCATCGAATGTTATCTCGAAGCTTCCCACAACGTCTTCAAAGCTTTTCACTTGAGCTCTTGCATCTTGCGGCATACTGTAGTTGCTCAAGTATTCATCCTAAAGTATGGGCATAGGAATCACTAAGTTAATGCACAATTCAGAGTTAAAACTAAACCATTCCAAATCCTCAGCAGACCTGGTTCGCGATAGCATACCATCCAAGCTAAACATTAGTTATTCACAAGGCAGAAGAAGAGGAAAGGAAGAATGTAATAGAAACCAAGTGGTTTTCTCGAATCACCCTTTACTAGTAAGTGTGCTGATATACGTATGTTCTTTTCTAGAATGAAGAAGGTAAACCCCTTAACCACCCCGACGTTAAAGCGAAGGAGATAAAAATGCAGAGCGATGATTTCAACGACCGAGATGAACACGTCTGTAAGAATGTAAGTAGCTATAAAAGAACTGGACAAGAAATGCCAAGGTTTGTGAAAATAATGTGAATGCTTTAGTGAACTCAGCGTGGGAGTAAATGCACTCTTCAGTGCCTTCAGATCCTCGCACACGTCGACGTGTAGCGGTCGTTCTCTTTCGATTTTATTTCATGCAAACAATGATGAGGTATACTAGGAAGTTCGAGCTACAGGAATCAGCACACGTACCCTACTGGCCACTGGCTTCGCAAACGGACGCGAAGAGGCGAACCCATCGCACTTGGCGTCGTCAGCTCTTTCCTCTCCACGAACAAAGTCCGCGTGCAGGTGGTTTCTGATCGGGAGTCCATCTACGGGAGTCACTTTCTCTGACGTCGACTTCTTCCTCTTCGAAAAAATGTGCCTCTTCCGGTCGTTTTTCTTGTTAGCTACGCTATTCAGGTTAGTGTTTAGTTGAGCTTCCTCTCCATAGCTACCGTAACTGGCCATGTCGCCATTTGGCGGACTTTCACGAAAGCTTCTGATTTCTGGCGTAAGTTCAGCTCTACTCCCAAACACAGGTGACTCATCTACAACGACACCTCTCATCTCCTCAACATCGAAATCCATTATAATACTCCTGCTCGAGCTCCCATCGATTATCACTGGCTCCTCCCTCCCAACATATCCCCGCCTTTCCTCCCTCACTGACTCTTCCCCAATGCCATCGCCTTTCACTATTCTGCGTAACCCTGAGGTGGAACTCCCCCTGGAGAAACCTCGCGGAAAACCATCGCGATTGCTGTCCTCAACTTTGCGAGGCTCCCGCGCTCCCGTACTCCTCGCACTCACATTCCTACGACCATAGCGGCTCCCAAATACAGACGCCATTCTCTGAGGAAGGCCATTACCCTCCTTCACTGTGTCCACTGCCATTCCATGACCCTCTCCACCATTGATAGAACCCCCGCCTCCATTCTCCAAACTTTCCTGTCTAGAACCTGAACCATGTGCAGCGCTGCTTGCTTCCGCTATCGCCATGCCACATTCTCACCACAATCAATCAACACACTTCACATTTGCAATCATTTGAACTCTCATAGACGTAATTCTTAAGGTTGGCCTGTCACGAGAATCAACAACGACGTTATGAGATGCTACAGGGGAAGAGGATTCAGGAGACCAGGGAGCATGAATATTAAAAGGAGCGGGTAAAGCGGAGGCGTGTGTACGCTTCCTCAAGGCTCGCATTAGAGCCGACTTCCTCGGATCCGGAATGGAATAACACGGTCAATATTTCACTCTACCACTTCCCGGGTGTGCGTTGCAAGCATTGTGATACGGCGAAGGAATTGCCGCACCATCCATGGCCACACTAAAGTCAAAAGACGAAAGAGAAACCTTTAGGAAAAGTCGAGATGTACACTCAAAAGGCGTGGAAAAAGTCCAACATAACGGACAGCGCCTGCTCCGTGAATCATGAAACCTCGTTGGTGATAATGGCTCCTCCTCTGGACTTGTGGCCGGTTACGAAACCTCGCCAGAACGCCATGGCTATCCATTTTTTAGCTCTACTGTGCAAGCTACTACAACGGCTGACGAGGGTCGTGTCTTGTAATTTTGAAATCGACAATGTTGAGAAGTGGCCGATTCTCGAATCCCCTGCGAAACCGAGTGAATCATATTCTAACTACTTCGGCACTAGATTTGCACTGTACTATCAGGTGAGTTGTCAATTACCGGGACCCTGATCTTGACTCGGAATTTTGATAGAGTCTTTAAGCACGTCCGCGTCCGATTCTGTCAGCCTCTATGCAGGCTGTGTGTGAATTATAACACGTCAAGTTCATTATCGTGATCGAGGAGGAGTAGGCTTGTAAATGATTCCCCCAGCGTTGAGAGAAATTAGACTAGGAAATTTTACTCTTGCGCTCATGTTCGGTGTTCCTCATTAGTTAACAGCAATGATTGCGAGAAGACACAAGCGATCGAGCCCTAACTAGCGTGCTGATGAGCTTTGTGATCCGTTTTCTAAACCGCAGTGTCCATGGACTTCAGAACTTCGCTCCAAAATTAGACTGTGGATATCATACCTACGAGCTCTGAGATACGTCCACGAGCAGAGCGTTCAAGAGGGTACAAGGTGTGTGAAGAGTTTGCGCTGCCGAAACATTCTGCTTCTCTCATGACGTTTTTCACAATCATGTTCCTCTATCAGTTTCACTGAGCAGGGGGGGCTGCAATGTTGTCGACTTAAGCACATTGCGGCAAGTGACTGTTTTGGGAGATTACTGCACAGGAATGGTTTCACATGGCTCATCTTCAACTTGGATCCGCTCCGGAGTGGGCCGATGATTCTAGAATGCTTGCGCACAGGCTGGTATTTGGACACTTTCAAATACGGTAGTTGTTGTTGTCAAAGTTATGTATGTCTGCGGGGATTCTACTTAAAATTGAATGAATATATACATGGTAGACAAAGATAGACTGAGAGGCAGCAAGGCTTTGTCGTTTGAATGTGATAAATAGATGGAAGTATCGGCCGCAGAGATGAAGGATGAGCTAATTTTAGTTTCGCACAACAACAAATCCTGTGGCCTGAACTACTCACATAGCTCTCTTTTATTGCACAACAAAATCCTCACCCAGGTGCTCGTGGCGCTTATGATCGAAAACAGCTGCAAACGTCATATTTAGCTCGCCTGCTCTGAATAGGCATAGTAAATTCGTTGCCGCAATTCCTTGGGGGCAGGGTTTAAGAAACCGAACATTCTATTCGTGGTTAATCCTCTCCCGCATTAGAGAGCATTCATGTCGTGACAGCTATCCGTTCGGATCGTGTCAGCCTTAGAGGAACTTAGTCAACTGAATATGCGCTACTCTTGGTATCTTTTGCAACACAATTCTCGAATCCTTAAAAACCTTAAATCCCAAGCTTGCACAGACACCAACCAATCGATGACATCTCTCAGTCAATTAAAATATGTGTCGATGATTGTCGACCCTCACTGATTTTTGTTCATTCATGTGAAACACCCTAGACTGAATTGCTCAGCACGCTCTGGACTGAACGACTCCAGACTGAATTGAGTAATTTCTGCTTGTTGCTACCTAATATAACACTTCACTATCATTTTGATCAATCCCTTGAGATCAATATACATCAGCTTCCTTAGTCTCTGCTTCCAAAGTCTTTTCATAATCAGGACTCTTCTCATCGTAAGAGTCATCGTGCAGGATCATCCGCGGTTCTGATTTGTAGGAACTACGCACAAAACTTGTGGTAACCCAATCTGCCCACAGCACATTTCCAGGCCTCATGTCAGATACAGCCTCACAGTGTGCACAATTTGTCTACTTCCGACCAAGATGCGCATCGGGGTTATCAATTCCTCCAGCTTATCGAGTCTTGAAATAATTGCCACGGAGTGTATGAAGATGAGGGAATGGGATTTAACTAGACCTGTTACATCGTCCGGTTCAAGAGCATCCTGGAAAGTCTGAATGATCTCGCCTTGGACGTTAATTTCCCGTTCCTCAACACATTGCAAGAGTTCGAAAAAGTTAGCATACTGCATCACACGCTTGTATTGCTTTCAGGGTACATTCAATAAAAACTCGCACGACTTGGAAACAAATGTGTTCATTTGTTCACCTGCTCGTGACACTGGGTATAAAGTTTATGATATTGGGCAGCAAGCTTGTTGTGATTCGCAACATATTCCAGGTGAGTTGGGCCACCATGGTTGGAATAAGGTGGATCAGCAGCCTTTCCCACCAATTAAGGCAACCAATGTAAAAAAACAGTAGGAGTCTGAGCACATACAGGTACTGTCGTGTAAATCGCCACATCATTAATTAAGAGTCCCTTTCTATAAGGCATCAAAAATTAATAAAGAAAAGCCTCTCTGTTGCCAATTTCTCACTGTTCGCAACAAAAGAGGATGAAAGATGCCACATGCGACACACATTGGAAGCTTAACACAACCACAAGCAGACGATCCTGGAGAGCAATTGCAGAACAACCCACGTCCATAATTTTACAGTGAAAGTCAAGAATCGTCGCTAAAAAGTCAAAACGTGCCATGTGCCTAATTGCTTGATATTATTACATCCTCTTGACCAGTTTTTTAGGTTTTTTTCTAATAAATTAGAAATTACCTGTCTCATGCCTCCAAGCTCGATACTAAGAGCGTTAATGAGGAGGTCATCATTTTTGCTCTTACTCAGTAAGACAGCGACTGTGTTTTTTGCTTTGAAGATCTGTGACACAATTCAAGGTAGTTGGCCTTTGTCATTAGTCATACCAAGTCGAAAGCATGAACTAAAAAAGACGAATGATGAATAGCCCTGAATTGCTTTGAACCAATAAAATTTTAATTAATTAATTAATTAATAATAAATAAATAAATCGTACCTGTTTCTCTAGAACGCTCCGACGTGCATTCGATGCAATGAGCTTGTCACGTTGCTCTCCCCAAGCTTTGGTCAGCCGCTAGAGGATTGAAGACACCAATGGACAACGCAACAAATATTGCCCAAGAACAATTGAATTGGGAATGGAAACAAAACGACGATTCTTCACATGAAACCATGCATTAGATTAATTATTTCCTCGTCACCTTGTGCTATAAGAGCAAGCAAAACATCAAAAGTTGGGGACTTACGACGAAATCGTGGACTAGATTATCGTATTGAACCCTTCGATCATGGTCCACCTTTTCTATCTGATTCCGGTGGAGGATCTCCACCGTTCTCCTGTCATCGTGGTGTAGAGTTGTGTGGCGGACGGGCTTGGATGTGGGCATCATATCCTTACACAGGCTCTTCAGCTCCTCCACTTTGTGCTAACCACACCTCAGATTCAATGAAATCAGCCCCCTTTTGGTGTGAATGGTCAAGGAAGTGCAATTATCTGAAAAGATCACTTGAAGAATGTGAACTCTGAAACGAGGAAAATGGGAGATACCAGAAACAGGACACAGTGACATCGCTGCAGCACTTGCAATTTGCCAAATAATCAGGCATATTAGTGGTCTAACACGAGATTCAGACCTGTACAAATCCTGTTCCTAGCGATGCGAGGAATTTGATAGGCACAGAAAAACTGATGTTGCTGTTAGACCTTAAGGAGAGAGATCTGCTCGCTCCTGCCAACCCATCCACTGCCTTCCTCAAGCACCTGCCATCATAAACTCGACAAGAATTGCAATATACTTATGCTGAGCACATCTTCTTATAGCAAAGTAAACTCAACAGCGAAGTGACTAAGATCAATAATCGAGAGCCACACTATTCATGCTCACGTGGTTCAAACGTGATTCTATTATCGAACAAGCACGATATGATACATCTTCTCATTACTCATGCCTGAGAAGGGTCTCTTTGCAGCCATGTACCTTGTCGATTGGCATGTGATTGCCGACCTCTCTACGGAGTGCGAACATCAATTTGTGAATTTTGGTATCCATGGCTCCGATTTTCGACTGAGCCTCCATGAGTTTTGTGCTTGTCTGGGCAACATCAACAACCCCTTTCAAAATAACTTAAAAACCGACCTGAGACACTTGGAACCCAAAATTTTGCAAAAGCGATTTTCCAACAAGCACACAGAATCGTATACAATTGTCACCACACTGATCTGGGTTCGACATTAGCAAATGCTTAATAAAGAAAAAGCAGGACAAACTCTTGACTCCCTGAAGAAGATTTGTGAATGATCATTTATCATTTCAAACCGCAGTCAGCATTCTTAGCGAAGTTCAAATCATGCTTGACCTGTCTGGACTCCATCACCTATCATGAAGATTACCATGGTGAAAGAAGACTTGATCCAGCGTACAGTTCGACGATAGAGATTGAAAAGGATGAAATCGATCATTCACAAGAGATAAATCTCACTCGAATGAATGAACAGGAGGCATCAGGAGGCGACCCTTTGGTACTTGTCAACCCAATAGTAGACGCCCATTTTCACTAATTTGTCCTCCTGCACCTCAACTTGTTCACGCCTTCGCAGCTGCACATCAAATTAGAAACACCAATACCAACATTCAGATTCGGTTACGAACAGCCTTAGGTTTTCGTTGGGTGGCAATATTTGACAAGAAACTTCAGATTAAAATCATGTGAGGAAAATTAGTAGACAAAGCCATCTCACGCATGCGACACTGACCTCTTCTTGGATGAATGTCACTGTCTTTCGCATTGTCCTTGTTCGGGTTCTTTCGCGCTCCAATTGCACATTGAGCATCTTATTCTATACCACAATAGAAACAAACACAGTGAAAAAAATGTCAAGATGTGTGAGTTACACGCTCGCTGTTAGATGTTGGCTCATATTGCCAAGATCCAGGGTAGGCAACACGCATGGTAATTCAATGAGAGCAGGAGAAGAACGAAGAACCTTTTTGAACAACTCAATGAGTTTGGCATCCCGCAGGTCACCTTCACCAGACGTCATAGAGGACAAAATTTCCCTAAAAGCACACCCACATTTCGTATTTCAAACGTTGCAAAAAGTTTCGAATTCTGTCGTTCTGCGGTCGTTCAAAGAAAGTTGGATTGCAGTTCAACTTGTTGTGACTTTGATCAGAGATGCCAAAAATAGGGAAAGCGCAAGTTCGTTAATACCTGAGTGCGGCGATTTCCTCATTTCTTTTGTCGAGTTCCGCCACCTGTGATTCAGATCCACAGCATAACTATGAGGGTAACTTAGTAGGTTGCCAGATGGTCGCAGTTTAGAACATCCGTCCAAGGAGCTCAACGTACGACAAAAAGAACAAAAGCTCACTCGTGCCTCCTGTAGAAACCCAGAGAAATTTTAGAAAATCAAAACCGACAGAGAATCGAAAGAATGGATGGCCAACATCTTGAATTGGACTTCGATTTTCCAAATCAGTCGCCATAATCCTCAGGAATCACGACCCACCAGACCGCGGCGCAGTAACGTCGGTGTTCTGAAACTTGAATTAATTTACCTGCACTTACGAGCATCACCATTATAACCAATTAGGATACTGCAGCCCCAAATATGCATGATCATATTCTCGAAAATCCCACACAGTTTATGTTCATCACATTACACTGCAATTCATTTGAAACTATCTGTGATTCTCTGTAGTTTTCTGTAGTTTATTCTAAAATTCTGCCGAAAAACATTTCAGCGTCTTTTCTGTGAGTCGTGTCAGCATAAAAACCATTACTGGAAATATGTTTTGAAGCAATTTTTTGTCGAAGTTTTTACACTAATTCTCGTACAGGATACCTTGGAAGGAACTTTAATCGATGATACACAATTACAACAGCCGGGGAAAAGAACCCAAATAAAAAAAAATTAAAAATGCATAATCAATAAAATGAAATCAATGCTGGCATCAAACGATCTTAAATGCGAGAGAGGTCACCCACACACTCCTAATGTAAAAGTGAGAACATAGCAGAACATTATCCTAGTAAAATGAAAAATCTATTGAAAATTGCAGCAGAACAGACCCACTAATGCATCCCTCAAAATTTCAATATGTATGTTAAGTTCTGATAAGTCTGCATTTCTGGGAACTGCCGATAAAAACGGCCTCCGCTGCTGCCCAATGCGAAAAGTCTGAATATACTTTGTCCTGTGATTCCAGATTACTGTTCATGTCCACAGCGATAACGGCCATTATCCTTCAAGAGTCAATCTCCAATGAGTTACTGACATCAGCTTCTCCGACCATCTGTTGTATTATAAGGTTCCAAGCGTGTTTGGATCTGGAGTAATTTGCAGGAACTCCGAAGCAGGGAGCTGGAATAGTTTACAGGAACCCACAAGCTGGGAGCAACATTGTTTAGGCAAACAATCGTCGTCTCTGAGTCTCCACTGGAAACTAATTAGACAACCCTTCCCCTGAGACTGCATTCATTCTTCGGGAGTGAATCAACCCAATTTCTAGTCCTTGCTCTCCCACACACTCACCACTGCGCATATTCAAAGATTGCATAGGAAAACACCAGAAAGCAACATTGAAATACCACCCGAAAGCCCTCTTTCACACGCAATACGCTGGTGGCACAGAACTCGTCGAATTGCTTGGGAATTGAATGTCAAGGCAAAACTAAGGAGTCTGGATACATTCTTAGTCAGTAAAAGAGGCACACTATAAAACCTAAAACTATGACTCCTGTTCAAATCAAATTTAAGAAGCCTTGTGTTCTTCGAAATCAGATCAGATTTCCTTCATAATTGCTGATGATATGAGAGATTAGGAGAAGCTACAACGAAAAATGGAGCTATATTTTTCCGATGACATAAAGGAGCTTAAGTGCCCTCCAATTCTTTAACATAAGCCTTGAGGGTGAACACGAGATCCCTAGCCGGTGCTTGCAATGAGTCAACAAGGCCGGCTGCAGGAGCTTGGATTGTTCCCAACAACGTGGCGTACAGCTCGGCCCTGGTAGGCATGGATTCTATAGCCATGAATTAATCGGGAGTGTAAAACTTGCCTTCAAATACTACACCTGTGAAGTAGTTCTCCAGCTTCAGCTCCTTCTGCAAGTCACGATAGGGCTTCAAAGCACCAGGAATCTCCTCCGTATGTACAAAAAGCCATGAATTCATGCCCTTAAGGGCGGGTTTCAAAGCCTCCTCCCATTCAGTGCCCTCGATGGCCTTGCCTGTCAGCAAGCAATTCATCAATTCTTCACCACGTTAAGTCTGCACATTATACAATTCCCCGCTAAATGTGGAATCCCTACCTACGAAGTTGCAGCTCCTGAATGAGAAAACAAATACAATACCAATGAGCTTGTTCTTGGCCACCATAATAAGAGTGGTGTCCTGAGGCAATGCCTTCCGCAGCTGCTGCATCTGCTTGACTGTCAGACCGTTGACGGTCTTAATCCCCGCAACTAACATACATACCTGGAGTCTCCTCCTTTTTCTTCCTGCCCATGGCCATTTTCACCACTCTTACATTCTCCGAGGCCGCCTCAGTCGAAGACCAGCCCACTTCATTGCACCTCAACCCCCCCCTGATTGCCCCAAAACTCCACACAATACGATCGCCTGCTGGACTGCCATAGCTGCGAAACCTTCGGCGAAATCACAATAGCCCGATTGAATTGCGACTACGGAATTGCGTTTAAACGTTGGACACCTAGGCGATGGCGTAGCTCGAGGATGGGGGCGGGGAGAAGACTGCTGTCCCTTGAAAAACAACACCGCGGGCATGGTTGAAGCCGGGTATGAAGTCCGGTATGATTCAGGAGATACGTCCGGGTATGAATACAGGTATCAATATCGTGATGAGAATCATCAAGTAGGAGCATTGGTGCCACTAATGGTGAGTTAAGGTAGCAATAAAACAATAGTGGCATTTCAAGTAAACATTAGAGAATATTTAAGTGGTGTTGATATCATGTCCAACTATCTAGGTAGAAGGCACTTGTTGTGGAAACCAAGTTTTGCCCTTCTTTGTACTACGTTGCCTTATTGCTTCTCTTATCCTATGCCTTAGCCTTCCCCTAACCAAGACTTCCTTTGCTTATGCTCTAAGCCCTAAGTTTCAATCTTAGTAGGAGGGTGTATGTAGGTATACAAAATGTTTTTTAAAATTACCCAAAATCTATTCATGGATGAAGAAGAAAAATTATCATGGTGTTATTTCGGCATCTTTTCTAAACTAGTATTCTTAAAAGATCTTGCATCAATAATAATGAAAATTACAAAGATCAATGACTCAAAAATGTTTTAATATAAATTTCCAACAACAATATTATTTGGAGCCACAAATTCATAATTACAACTTTGCAAAGAAGAAAATAACTAGCAATAGTAAGGTGTAATGATTCTCGTAACAGTGACACATATTTCAAAAGTCATGACTTTCTCATGACTTAATAGAATGGAATAAATAATAGATTTGTTTATATTTACACTCCAAAAAATAATGATACAATACTTAATTATGTCAAATAGACTATGTTAAATTATACTTGTATTAGGAAGGCTCCAAACTGACCTAAAGAGTCTTTTGAAGAGAAAAATATATACATATCTCAGAAATCTCTTGGTATTCTGGAATGGAATTACTTTATAAGTTCTACACAAATCTTTAATTTGGAAGCTTTATTTTCTTTTCTCTTAACATTTGAATTATGTTTCTTGCAATATTACAATTACATCAACAACTTGTAATATATTTTTCGGAAATAAATTAACAAGATGATATTATAGTCGTTTTGATGATAAGAAAAAAGGATATAATAGAAAAAGAAATTCAACATAATGAAGGTATATTTAATCTACATGAAGATGGAAATAACATTTCAACTAACTGCATCTTCAAGATGCATCATATTATCAAGCTATATGTATAGGTAAATGTTAAATAGATCCAGGTTTTTACTTCTTTATTTCTTTTTTCTTTTTTTTCATGATAAATGGATCAATTCAATAAAAGCCTTGTCTGTCTGTCTATCTATCAGTTTGGTCCTTATTTCGGTCTTAATTATGTTGTCTGGTCGTGAACATACTATTATGGTTTACTTCCACTGCATATTCTATCAAATCTCAAATACGCACAAAGTTATGTACCTTTGTAAGTTTCGATTGAATTAGGAAATTGATCAATACACGAACCAAGTTGTTCTCAGTGTTTATTGCAATTTTTGCGATTTAGAATGTTTTATAATTAAACCTGTGAAACAAGAACATCATTACTGACACAAAGTGCTTTAACTTCGTTCCAAACCTCAATGGTTCCTTCTTAGAAGACTTCAATGCTTCACCTCACCAGGATCACAATCAACATGTGAGAAAACATACCGCAAACAGGTGAATGTCAGCAAGGTTAGATGAAATGGCACCAATGATCTAACATAACAACAAAAGCAATAATAATCTAACGTTGCAAACAAGATTCATATGAAAAAAACGCAAACTACGTGGAGCCCAAAAGGAACCGTTGCAAACTATAAACTAACTCGCTGCACACATGTGCCAAGTCAAAAAGTTTCTTCAAAACATACAGCATCGCAAAAGCCTAGACTTATAAAAACAGAACCATGAGAGTAATACTGACAGCGAGTAGTAGATATTGGGTAACTTCCCTAGATCGAAAAGTATATAATTCGATGTCATAATTTAAGTTAAATAACTTGGGAAACTCACATGCACCTGACTTGAAAAAAAGCTCTAGTTGGTGAATTCTCCTGTGTTTTCATTTGCATTCTTCTTTAATTAACAAAGTTTCTTTGAACCTCTCAAATCACAACAAAAGGGGCACCCCCAATGCTCAGAAATCTATATGTAGACCTCCTGACATGATGAGTTGATGAACCATAAGCACACAGTTTTCATTATTGGGTTCGTTTGAAACCATTCTAATATAATCTATGAGCTATCACTACTCGCCTTCAGCTTTCAATACAGGGTTGATAAGTGGCTTCCACTGTGCCAGCCATACAATTGCCCACCTGGACAGATCAGCCAAGCAACTGTAAGTTACAGATAGTGACTTTAAAAACCTGCATAATTTGTTCAGGAAACCTAATTTTCATACGAGATGAAAATGGTCAAACTGAATGGCATTTCAATTCATTCTTCATGTACCAAACAGTTCTCTTAACAATTTCCACATAACCTTCAACCGAAAAAAAAAAAAAAAAGAAAAAAAAAAAGGAGAAAAACAATATTCTAGCACTTCTAAAAAATCAACAAAGGAGTGAAAAAGAAAACGGCACTCCTGCGCCTGGCCAAGCAAATGCCACAACTAGTACACTCACCCGCATGATTAAGCAACACTTGAGCTTAATTCAAAATCAAATCACAAGGGAGGGTAGAGGAACATACATAAGCCAACAGCATATAACCGCAGTATTCACGAGCACTACGTTGAGCCTGTCACACATCAACAAACAGTCATTAGTGTTCTGAACACGGCCATTCTTACGCAGCCTAATATACTACCTCGATTGATTATCCCCGAAACACTTTGTAAAGTTAAGCTCAAGGGTCACAGTGGATCTCGATACGTTGAGAGTAATGATAAAATTCATGATATGCACAAGCGTCTCAGTACTACGCTTCAGAAATGACAACAGCCAGCTCCACATGGTGACATGCCAATTAAAGACAACCGTAAGCGGTGCATGATACAGGCAATGTACAAGGAGATCTACAGACGGTCAAAGTTTCAAAGCTGGCCACACGAGGTGAAAGACAATACAAAGTGATCTGCAACGGTCCATTCGACTTGCGAGCATAAAAAATCGTCAGGCTAAGTTCCGTGCTCACAATCTCTCCTCCCAAACCCTAAGAAGTTCAATGCCATCAAATTTGTCTGAAAATCAAAATTCGCCTATTCCGATTTCATTTGACTACAAGTTCCAAAAATCACTCCTCTAATCGCACAGATCTCATGCTCCTTAGCAAAACCAGCCCAACGTCAGAGAAAACTATCAAGACGAATTCAGTAGACTCACATGTTGGTGCTCGGGCCCTTGTTGTAGCAGACCTTGACGCACAACGATCCCACTAACCCCGACAGCAAGAAATACAACGAAATGAGGAAAAAACCCATGATGGAATCACCGATTCGAGCAGCTCTGGTTCGTAATCGCTTGGGTATGCGAGATGGCGCGCAAAATTGGAGAAGAGTCGGCGAGGGACAATCGCACGGGGCTTCGAGAAACAAGAGTGCAGGGAAGAGCTCGTTCCGGTGTGGGGACTCCGCAGTACTAATACGCTATTGCCCTATTGTAACCAGATCTTATGGTACCCTGCCTCCTGATTTATACCCGACATGCTCTAATTTTTTACCCGGTTACCTGAGTAAGTTAGCAATGCACAGTTGATACCTGTATGCCTCATCAATGTCCAATTCAAATCCGCTGTGACTTGCACAATTGAATAGCACTTGATCAGAAATTATGCTTTGATTTGTGATCTCGTCATTAAATTTTGAATGTTGTGGTTTTCCACTGAACAATATTACTGAATTTAAATTAATAGTATTATGGACAACTCTTAAATTTTTTATTTGAAAAATATGCATGATGTAATTAGAATATTTTTAAATTTATAATATTATATATATTTATTAGTTTATTTATATTTATATTTATTTATTGATCATAGCAATTATGTCTTATAAATACTTCTACATTAGATTTTGAGATTTTTGAAATATTATAAAAGATTAAGTATACATGGTAAATAGTCATTTAAAACCACATACATATACAATATGGAAAATGAAGTAAAATTACAATTGCTTCAATATATGCAATTTAAAATGAATATAACAATCCAATAGTTTAACATATAATAGGTCAAAACTAAACATTTTCTGTTAAATTGAGGATTGCATTACACAAGTATACTTACATAATATGTGTGTCTATATATATTATTCAAATTTAACACAAACAGACTCAAAATATACCACCATTAAAAAACATATATTGGAATAAATTACTTCTACTAGCATCACCCGTTGAGAAAAGAATGAACGAACACTCATACTCTAAAAATTCACAATCAATTATTTCTAACAAACCAATCAAATTCTCAAATTATCAATTATTGAGGTTTTAAACATGCTTTTCGCAAATGATTTCTACCGTCGGCTGCTTACAACCTTCGCAACAATTTCTAAATATAGTCCAAACAATTTAGACTTTATTCTGAGCAAATTGCAGATGTTTTGCTAATAATCCATGGATGTTAACTTTAAAATAAAAATAAGAACATCAGAATATACATACATCCTAATACACATGAACAAAACATTCAAACTGTTGCTCCAAACCCTTTCACAACCTCCAAGCTGTGACTACATCCACATGAGAGAAAGATTTTGTGCTGACACAATCCTTTCAATTTTAATAATCAAGCTTCAAAACATCATGTATTAATCAACTAAAAACTAAATGAATATTTTGTGCAACATTGAACTGACAAGATGTACTGTGCGACAGATACATTGATGAAGGCGCCCTCTCGCTATCGTGTTTGCTCCAGGTTGCTGAGGTATTCGATACCGACACGAAAGCATCCATTCCAGCTCCATGATTCCACTGGCATCGTGCAAATCACTCTCGTTTGTGTTCATTCAGTTTGACATAAATAATGCCCTGCGCTTATCATGTTCCAAATCATTCCCACACCACGGACTACTTCCCCCCTGCACCCCTACCCACACTTCCCGTCTCGCACACCACGGGACTTATATGCCAAAAGGGTGTCAATCAGACTCCATTACTTTTGCAAATGGTGCACAGCAAGGGCCCTACCCAATGTCGATTCCGCTCCACAAACCCCACTTCACACATTCACCTTCCATGATCGCCCACTTTCTCAACTATCCAAATGCCCTCCTTCCTCTCCAATTTACACAACCTCCTACCACTACCTCTAACAACGCTACGCTCTAGACGCGCTGCCTTCCGTCTCCAATCGCTCGCCGTTCGCTCCTTTCCCAGGGATGCCGCGCTTCTCTCAATACGCACAAAACAAGCCTTCACCGGTCCTCCCTGCCACGCCACTCGCTACCTTCCCGTGTTCCTGGCATCTGCACGTGCGGAAATCATGTTCACATAAACTCATCACTGGAACTCCTCAGCAACCAGCGACTTCTCGACCGTCAAAGCGTCACTCGCCACAAGTCAACCATCTTACCACGATCATATCTCGTCCGCCATGTGGATTTGCGATTCGTTCTGGCTGTCCAACGGCATGTACTGGGCCATGATGGCCCGAATCTCCGAGTCCATGTACGACTGCACATTCATACAACACACCATGTCATCGCCCGCACTCACCAAACAACAAGACAAAACAACTCGTCATCCTCGAAAACCACCCACTGTCCCAAGCATCTCGCCCTTACCCGAAGACGGTACTTGTACACGACGTAACCGCCAACTCCGAGCACAGCCAACCCAGCCAACACGATCAGCGTGACGAACCACCCCAGTTTCGATGGCTGGCTCTGCTTGCCTGCACGCACACCGAACAACAAACACTCCACTCAGCACCCTTTCCCACCCAGACTACTATCGCCGCACCACTGCCAACAGCACCCGCGTCAGCACATTCTGCTACTCGACCAAAATCAGCCACCGCGTTTCGCACCACCAGCCCCATTCCACCTTCCACTCCCCTCCACCACCACCATCCATGTCCCCGACAATCCATAACGACCACAATACTCCCTTTTCACATCTCTGCTACTCTCAACACACACTTACTGATGCATGTGTCATGCTCGCCGATGTACAGCAGATCGCCGCCACACTGACAGTCGTACCCGCCCCATGTGTTCGTGCACGAGCACTCCGAACACTGGCACTTGGTCTTCCTCGTACATTCGTTGATGTCTGCATCGCACACCAACACGAAACGTCACTCTTTACACCCACAACGACCTCTTTCCCTCACATCCGCTCCCCGCAACCTCCCTTCCCATACTCCTCATAAACCATCCCTCCACAAACATCTCTCAGCTTCAGTCACTGTAGTGCATGCGTGGGTGCGCGTCTCCTACGACTCCGCGCACGAGAACCATAAACCGTAACCAGAACACGGTCCCATACCTACGCAGCCGGTTGTGGTGTTCTTGCCGTCACCCTCAAAACCCTCCGGGCATTTGCACCCTGCGTGATCATCCTGCCGCCAACCACAGCCCCCGTCACTACACGAACCCAAACACACACACACGCACGATTACCGGACCCAACACCTCCGCAAACATACTCCGTGCACCCAACACGGACGCTTTGCCAATACCTCAGCTACAGTTTTACAACTCCCGCATTATTAACCCCCGCATTTGCACATACACCCACCCTCCTAATCTCCAAATCCTGTTACCACATCGTGACGTCGAGCTACATATACTGCCCTGCGAGGACGACTGCCCCATCGAACGAAAGAACCAAAAATCCTCGCGAAACCAGCCGAAACAGATACCTGGCAAGCTGATTTTGTGACCCCATTCCGACTCTCCTGCCAGCACTCTCCGTTACTGATCTTGCACCGACCAGGTCCCTTGGCTGCTTCACCCCACAACCATGTCACAACCCATCCACGCCATAAACACCACATGCACCCGTTCCGCTTCAACATACACACCCCTGGCCGACACAACATCATCTCCTGCCACACATCCTAACAGAAACTAACACCCCAAAACCGAAGTCATTCGCAACTCATTCAGCTACCACCCCACACAGCACATGCCTCTTACCTTCACAGTGCGTATAACCGTCACCCTCAAACTGCACGCCCTTTACCAACGGACACTGGCAAACCCGACCACGGAACGTGTCCTGCACAATCAACGCGTACATAGCCCGTCAGCACAACCCGCTCTCCCACTACCATTCTCCAACACTACACATCACATCCCTCCACATACCAACGGACCTACTCCCCTGCCCCGCTCAAACCTGCAAGCCCAAGCACCAAATGCGCCACGCTACGCCGTGCACCTGCCTACCGCATTACCTGGCATGCCGTTAGGTCGCCACTGCTCCAGCACCCACCGTTGTTCTCCAAGCACTCGTTTGTTTGCAATGTGTCGCTCAAACAAACTGGCGGGTCGGAGGCCTCTTCAAAACCGCTGCAGATAGCCTTCAACACCGCCGACTTGTCCAACTTACCTGCAGCACCACCATCCAACCACGCTCATTCACCGCACCACTACCTTTGTGTCCCATTTTCTGCCTTACTACCTCACGCAATGCCATCACCGTCACTCTCATCCACAAACATGGATCCACCTGTCCACTCCACTTCACCATAAACCCCCTACCGCCACTACGCGACCACCTGACACAGCACCCAGAGCCACAGCGCGACAGCTAAACGACACTCGAGTAGAACACCAACCTCGATATTGCCTGTTGTTGATTATCAGAGTTGGCAGGATGGTAACGTCACCCCGATCGCCCTGCCCAACCTGCCCGCCACACAACCCATCCAACACACACTCAACAACCCACCCAGGATCGCATCACATCCATAACGCGCATCATTACTCAAACTCTACATCACAGCCTCCGCTATACAACTCTCAATCAAACCGATCAAACCACAACCTGTGCATCTTGCTCGTGCTTCAGAATCGGATGATCTTGGTCTGCGTTCGGGTCGCCCATGCACTTCTGCACCGCACCCACGTCAATGGCTGCATCCCAAAAACCACAGGTAAGCGTCCACCAGATACACTCCTACCCACCCAAGCTGCAGCAGCAACAAACCCCATCCAACCTATTCAGCCCTAGAATGCGCCACCCCCACATTCCCCCATCGTGGCCGCAGCCCACGCCACCCACAAATAAGGGGTCCAGACACTTTACATAAAGACTTGATCACTTCTTCCGCGCACTCCGGACCATACTTCTTCTCCTTCATCGGACACCGGATCTGGAAGTCTGTCACAAAGTCCCACCACTTCCACGGCTTCCCGGTGTCGTTCGTCACCTTAAACACGCACAGCTGTCGCAGGTTCTCGATCACCACTTGCTTCCCATCGTACCCCACCGAAAAATCCTGCTCTGGATCCGGGGCACAGTACCGCCCGTTGTTGATGCATTGCGACTTGCACTGCTTGCTCTCGATAAAGGCCTGACCACATACCACCGCCCACAATGCTTAGCTCCCCGACCTTCTAACATACCACGATCGCAGTCCCCCCACACATTGCCGCCCCACCCCCTATGCACCACTGGCTTGCGATCGACCACCCCACCCACGTCACACTTCCCCCACTTCGCACCACAAACCTGGAAACGCGTCAGCCTTACCTGTGGGCAGTACCACGTGATGTAGTGAGGGGTGAACTGCGTGTAGCCGCCCTGCTCCAGCATCTGAGCGACTCCCTTGTAATTCCGCACGAACTCCACCTGCGCATCGCATTTCGGCCCGCACTCGTCGTTGCTGTTCGTCCAGAACTCGTACTCCACGCGCTTGTCCGGGTGTGGAAGCGACTCTCGCCAGTCGAGTTTGATCGACACCATCTCCTTGTCGCTCAGCGCCTTCTTCAAGCTGTCCCCTAGATCCTTCGTGATCAGAGCCGACGGGATCGTGATGTTCTGAATGAACTGCGATGCTGCGGGATCCTCCTCCGGAGAATCCATCGTTATCAGCTTCTCCTGCTTGTTGTCTGCCACCAGCACCGCCGCTGCTCCCGCCTGCTGCGCGTACCACACCTTCGTCGCGAAATAGCAATCTGCACCCATCCAAATCAATGACTCAACTATCATCCCGCATCTGCATCATTTCCTCGAAAACCCGCTATCTCAATCGCCACCATACGTAACGTGAACCACGCGCCCTTCACTCATTGTGTACCTCCACCACGCCGCATTCACATTCTCTGCAGCTCCGCGGCACCGGCTGGAATCTATTTGCGACGCCAACCCCAGATTATCTACAACCGAACTCGTCCAGAGTTTTTTCCGAGCTCTCAGCAACACTGTTTCCGAGGATCCCCTATTCGTCGCCGATCCACGCTGACCACTCAATCTACAGCCCCTGGCACTTCGTGCTCGCCTACACTAATGCGGCAGAGTGCACTTACGCTGTGCCTTCAACTGTAGGAGCACTCCACAAACGTCCTCAGCATCCCGTCAAAACCTCAAATTCCCCTCGGCTCTACAATTCAGGTCGTCCAATCTCAAGGGGTCGCCAAGAATCTAAAACAGATCGCACCCTCCTCGCCAAGTTCATTCAAATGCCCTAACAAAATCGGACAGCGCGTCATCCCACACACTCCGTACAACTGTCCATCTTGCGGATTTTCCCCGCTGGAAATATTTCCACACCGAGAGGCGGAATCCCCTAATCACCACCCAATCCACGCTCCTCTCACAGTGATTCAAATCTTCCACAGGCCCAAAAATAGTGAACCCTAGCTCATACTACGCACTCACTGGGCTTCGATTCCATCCCGACTTCACGCCCGGACACCACGAGTTTGTAAACCACATCGAACCAGTGCCATCCACTTCCGAAGCAGACACACCTAGAAGGTCTAGAAAGAAGTTCCTATCACGTTGCTCGATTCCTCTGGAGCAGATGATCATAAAGACCAAATTTGCAAATCTCACAAGAGCAAGAGTAAAGATAGTGACATTACCTCCGCGATCAACCAGCGCGAAGATGGGCCGCTGCCCGGGCGCGGACTTGAACTGAGCCGTTGAAAACGTCTCGCACGCCTTCGAATTCACGCTCGGGTACGACACGGTGCCGCTGAGAGTGCCGCCATATTGCGGCACTCCGAAGTTGCCGATAGCGCTCTGATGCTTCCCCTTCAAACTCTCCGGCGAAGTGACCATCAAAGCTGACTCCTCCACAACAAACGTACTCCACGCGGGCACGGCCAGCAGCAGCAACACCACCATGGCCACCGCTGGGCACCCGCACCGTCCCATGGTCCACATCTTGCCCCTCACCCGGCCTGCTCTATTCACACCCTTCAAATCAATCCTACACAATTCACGACACAACGTTCTCAAACCCTGCCAACGCCCAATTTCAAAACCCTTCCCATTCAGCAGCAGTAACCATCCAAAAAAAAAAAAAAAAAAAAAAAAAAAAAACCTTCGTACCAATACACCTCAACCTAATTCCCCACCGACCTAATGTCCTCCCACTAAAATCATCCAACAACTTCCTTAAACCCGCACCTGCTTCCTTTCCTCCTCAGATCTACTCTCACAATCACAACACCGCACCTTAATCTCATCAAAAACCTAAATCCCTGTCGATACTGTCCAGAAAAATCCAAACCTCCACTCTCCATATACTCAGTGTCGTTTACGCGAAATAAATTACCTCAAGCATTGAGAGGGATAAAAAAAATCGCCCTGATTCCGTCGGCGAGCATCAGATAGAAAGATAGAAAGATGAGCAGCAGCACCAGATGCGCGTGTCTGGCTGCAAGGGAGAGAGAGAGACACGGCCAAAGCTCTTCGCTCCCTTTCCTACCTTGCTGCAGCAGAAGCAGCAGCAGCGGCATGATGCATGACGAAGGCGTTGCGCCCACGTTTGAGGTCCGAGATTTGCGATGGACGGGTATAACCCAGTCCCGGGTATACAGTACCAGTGTATCAATTAGCGCGAGCAGATTAAACGTGACCGCTTTTCATAAGCAAGGTAGAGAGATTCATTCAATCTGGATCCTGGTGACGTGGCTTATCTAGAGTTTGGGGTGTGGCGTCATTGGTGTGCTTGCATTGGCCTGTTCCCCTCCCCGGGATCGTTGTTCCTATCCCCGTTCTCCGCGCGTTCCCCTCTCACCCTTTCCCACGCGTACCATGCTTCCAAATTTCGGCCTTGCCGCGGGATGAATGTCGGTCTGACGGAAAGATATATGGATGAATAAACACATCTTCATTTTAGATCTGCGCTTGTGGCGCTTATTCAACAATAATAAGTCGGCGTCACACTGCTTAACCTTTTGCTCACGTTTGGACGAATGATAAATTTTGTGTAATTCTGTTGCGCGTACATTCATCTCGTTAACAAGTGAAATAAGCCATGTATATAAATTACTTGCTAATGTTACTAATTTATTACTAATTCCATCCATATTCTGTGTTTGGTAACATTTTATTTCGTATCTGGATAGATTCTATCATTTTTAGTTGATAGAATGATTACGTTATTGGTCATGATATTAACTATAATATCTATTAGTTATAAATATTTCAGTTGTGTTATTTGATCTTGTATTCAAGTCATTCAAATTTGTTATCTTTGTAGATTTTTCCTTATTATTATCAATTTTATTTAGAGAATTTTTAATGTTACATTCCTAATTGACAATCTTACATCCCACATGACCTCATCATAGAAAACTAGCTAGTAATATGCCTCTTTTTTTTTGCACATTTTTCTTTTCCTTTGTTTTAAAAAAGGATAGTGGTTGTGAGGGAGATTGTGAATAATTTATGAAAAAACAAGTTGCAAGCTGTTTGTTTGTTTGTTTTTTTTGTTTTTGTTTTTGTTTGTTTTTTTTTTTTTTTTCAAAATAAAAACATTTTGCCACAAAAATTGTCCAATTCAACACATATGAAGATATATATATATATATATATATATATATATATACATATATATAATTTGGATGTCAAATATATACAACATATTGTTTGTTCTTCCTATTTTTGGATCAATATTGAGTTTAAATTTTTGGTTGCGAAATGCACTCCAAACATAGAAGCCTGCTTTTTAGTCTATTTAAATTTTATAGAGGTCACATGGGGTGTAGCAACAACATTAACAATTATATTTATTTATTTCTAGATTTGTACTTTTATATTATTTTATAAATAAACTTGAGTCAACTTGTTGTAATTCTAAGTATTATGTTGATTATTAGAGTGAACACTTTTGTGACAAACCAAAAGAAAAAGTGATTTTTTTTTTGAAGAGTCCTTGTCCTAGATAAATAATACATCAACATTTCATATGTTATTTGTAGGTTTGTTACAATTTCAAGGGAATTTTTGAACAAACAACTACATTTGAATTAATAAATTGATTCACTCTATTTAACTTCAGTTGTGTCCTTCTGTGGTTGCACTTGCTGATATAATATTGACTATTTAGAAGATATATGTTTAAACTTAATATATTTCAAATCATATTTTTTGCAATTAATGATATTTATTATTCCTCGAGAAATTAAATTTCTTGAAATTTCTTGAAACTAAATTAAACGGAATTAAAATATTTACTTGTATCTTTCGACAAACTAAAATCAGTTCTGTTGAAATATAGTTGTGAGCAAGAATAGGCCTCACAGTCGCACCGTCTAAATTCTAAATCCTATTTTCACGAAGTAAACAAACATTGAAACAATTGGGCTTCTTACAACAAGTTTTGGTTGTGAGTAATTTTAAGCAGATGAAAGTACCCTGCACTTAAGAGGGGTTGCTGCATCGAAGAGCGAACACAGATGTATACTGAATAGTCCTTCTGAATTGCGCAATCAAACGACAAAGACATTGTTACAAATAAGATGGTGTACTTCGCATTGCAGTGAATTTTTACGCTGCTAGTCCAAGCTTGCAAATAAGGTTCCATGAAAAAGTTGTCACTCCAGCTGTACGTTAATGATCAAGTTTTAAATTTTGTACAATTGTATCCGTAGTTTCTGAAAGGCTTGTCAACAAAAGGCAAGGCAAGCACTACGCATAAGCTGCTCAGTTCTGCAGGTTATGCAAGCCCATTAGATTAACTGTACTAGTCAAGAGCAAGTTCTTTGAATCTCTGCAGAGCCTTGCACGCTGCTGTGAAGTCCTCTTCACTGAGGGCAAGCATGAATCGGCAGTAGTTGGGGATTCCAGTCCAGGTGCAGCTGCTGATGGATAGACCTGTAGCCTTGAGGATTGCATCTCGAATGTTGTCACTGCCAAGTGTTTCTTTGTCCCCTTTCACGCTCTTTCCTTCATATGCCGATGGGCTTGCCACCATAGATATGCCTCCTAAAGGCTCCACGACGTCCCAGCCGCAGTCCTTCAGGAGCTGCAACAGTAATTGCCCAGGTCAGAATCTAACCTAGGAGGAAGAATCTGAAGCTATTGAATGAAGCTGATGAAGCAGCCAAGGTTCTCTTCAAGTCAAAGACTGATACTACTGCACTGAGATTCATCAAATGCCGCGTATAAGGTCTTCAATGTATAATTTTGATGCACGTTAGCTCGAACTTCAGCACACGAGACGTTTCTAAACTTGAACTTGAAGCATGAACTTTTTCACCTGTTGACTACAAATCTAGCTCAATTCTCTTTTTACGAATGCACTGTAGCTGTTTTGTTTTGTCCGTTACAAATGTGTAATGCGTTCTCAAGGAAAGTTTCAAGAACATGGTTATATCTCATTACCTTGCAAAACTGTTCCGCTCGATACTTCAGGATCTTCTTTTGCTCCCCCAAACCTGTGAGCAAAACTTCAGATTTCTGACTCATCTGTCCCAGAAGCTTCTTAATAGTGTACTTCAACGTCCCATGCGGCCGACTCATGGTAGGGGCCTCCTTGAAGGCTTCAATGAACACTGAGTCTGCAACAGCTGCAAATCCAAACTCAAGCCCTCCTGTCATTAGACAGGTTGAAAAACCTCCTAAGATTGCAACAGCGTAGGAATTCTCTTTTGATCCACTGCCGACTTCCTTGAGATCCCAATTAGGCGACTGGTTGTACTCCAGGCCAGAGAATGAGGTGTCAAGTATCACCCGAGCCCCGTAGCCCTTGCAGACGGCGAGAATTTCCCCAATCTCAGAGTTGGAGAAAATTTGTCCCGTAGGGCTGATAGTAGGGCCTGGAATGTACACCCATGGCTTTTCGATACCTTTCAAAAAGGAATCTATTTGTCCAGAGGTAGCTTTGAAGGCATTTGACGCTTCTGTGGGTAACCTCTTGAAGTCGGCCTCAAGAAACTTGGCAACTGAGAAAAGAGTACCGGAAGAGCCCATTGGGAAAACAAGGGTTCCATTTTCTTCAACACATGCTAGGACTAACTTTGTGAATAAGGAAGTAGACGTGTCACTTAGGAAAAGCTCCTTAGTATGTGCATGTGGAAGTCCATATCTGTTCTGCAAATAATCAAGGATTTCCGGCCTCGGATCCATCTCGTCCTCCGAAATGTTTTGTCGTGCAAATCCTTCGAAAACTGATACTTTGACTGCATCAGGCACTGGGAGAATGTTCTCATCAAAGTCCATACAGATGGTTGGAGGTAGTTGGTCGAGATTGACATTCTCCACTTCACAGAGGGCTTCAGTAGAGCTTGGCGAAAAACTGATAAACTTCGAGGTCTCTTCCTCTTTTGGTAACCTCTGCAAAATGCCATGGCAGATGGTTTCCTCTGTAAGAATTGTTTAGATTTTGAAAAATCATTATGTGAATCACCAAAGTAGACATCAGCAATGAGTTCTGAAGAAAGTAGCAGTTAAGCAACTTTACAAGACAACTTCAAATGTGCGGAGTTCTACGTTCAGCAATTCATTGTCGGAAGTGTAGAACATCGACAAACAGTATTACCATATAATGCTTATTTCAGCGTTTCTAGAGCAACATTAGCATATTTTTGTAACGAAAATTACAACCGTAGGATTATTGGTTTAAGGAAACCGTGCCTGTGGAAGCGTGTGACGTTCAGGAAGCTGAAAGCTTAGGAGCTCATGAAAGAGGCAACCATAATAGAACTGGCTTGAGATGGCTGTACGCCCATATGTAACATCCCCAGCTTTGGCTAGTGTATTCAATAGAGTCTGATTTTCGGAGATAATGAAAGCAACCTCAAGATCTGTATACACCTGTAAAACGCCCAGACGTCCAAATATGTGAAATCGTATAAAATACATCCTTTGAGAATGATAAGTATGAAGTCAAGATCGATGATTGTACCAAAATAAGTACATACCTGGTTCTTGACCAGACCACATATGATGGTGGCATGCATGGGCAATGGATGGGATGTCAGGTATTGCAGGACTCCGTTTGTCCCTGGTAAACTTGAGAGCTCCAGATATTCCGAAATATCCAATACCAGACGTGCTCCAATGTTGCCCGTCGCATCCAGTAGCAACTCGAATGCAGTGGATGTTCGCATCTCATAATCCGCGAGACTTGTGACAACGACCTGAGGCTTAAGGTTCTTCACTAATTGCACCACTAAATCGGAGCGGCGAGGGGCTTCCACCACAGTCACTTTGTTATTGGATTGAGAGATGGCTCCTCCATTTGCACCCTACGCAGCCAAAGTAGTCAGCACCAATTACATGTAAGCGTCCTAAATTTTTTCATAGACACTGTGAATTAGCTGCGGAATTTCCCGCTCCTTGTTAGGAAGCATCCACAAAATGCGTTTCGTCAAAATTCAAAATAAGATCTACAGTGACTCCTCACCATTTCTCACAGGCTTGATCGCCTCTCACACAACAGAACGGCAGACACGTCCACATTCGAAATAGAGCAAAAGGTAAACATAGAAATTCAGAACTGGCTGTATTGTTTATTTCGTACTAGAAACATCACAATATGAAAGAAACTGCTTTGGTGTGATAGGATTGGCCTCGATAGAAACGGAACATATAGATTTGCCGAAACCACGTAACAAGAACTTGAATTGGCGATCATGTCAGCAAAGTAGCAATGTTTTAAAATGTAGGGGTAGAGGTGGAACCTGAGCCGGTAGTGCAGTGAGCCATTTTTTAGGCAGCCATCGTGTAAGAGCAGCATCGACCAGTGCTAATCGAGGTGAATATACACGAAGCAGATTTTCAATGGCAACAGCTCTTGAAGGGAGGACCACCACACTCTGCAATTTAAATGAAGTTCAGTGAGTGAGTGACGATGAGAAGCCAGAATAAGGGTTTGTATATAGATGGATACCACTATACACCAGGAATGACCCTATCATTTTCGAAATTAAATTAATTTACAGACGGATACTGTAAAATGCATTTACAAAGTATAAAACATGGCCCCTCATGACAAATCAATTCCTTCCAAAATGTTCAACCTTCAACTATAAGGACGAGAAACTGATTACTGAAACTTTCCGTACACCTCGTGCTTTAGTGAGAAAAGTAACAACTTACAGCAGGAGTGATTGGGATGTGGTGATAAATTCTCATGAACCCTGCAATGAGATTCCTAAAACGAGAACTTCCAGCTGGGGACTCATGTGGGAAATATGAAAGATCCTCCAATGCACGTGCTAGATGTGCCAGAAAAGGTATTTTCTCCTCGGCAGCTGATTCATCAGCAAATGAGAGGTCCAGGGCTCCCCGAGTCTCTTCGAATCCATTGCTCAAAAACTTTGATATGGTCTTTACCTGTATAATACATAAATTATTATCGGATTACTCACCAAAAAAATGAAGAGATTGAGAAGTTAAATCTGAAGGGAAGTTGCCATCATGAGAACATTAAGGACCTCGTATTCCATTTGAATAAGAGCAATTGTCTTAAGCTGAAGCAATTGATGTGTCAAGATTCATTAATTTGAGGAAGCGTTTTTCCCTTACGACAGAAGACCTATATTTGCTAAGTGTGGCATGATAACCATGGATCTACATCACTGCAGAGTCAACAATGTTCGAAACAACAATTGCAACGTTTGAGGTAAAATGCTTCTGAGATGACGGCGACCATATCGGATAGCGCAAATCACCTCTTCAAGAACTATGACAAGACTGGAAAGTACTATTCAAGGAGAGCGCACCTGGTTTGGCATCCTGAGTTTGCACTCGTAAACCGAAAGCCCATGGGAGATTTCGCCTCCGGACTGCAAGAAAGCCCATGCTGTTCTTGCACTTATAGGCTCCTCACTCACACGACCCATGAAAAATTCAAACCGATGTCGAGTGTTTTTCTCAATTTCCACCAGTGCTAAAATATCAGTGTCTGGTGCCTGAATACAGGAAAATAACGGTAACCTCAATCACAACTACATAATTCTTTGCTCATGGATCCACTTGACCACCGTTCAAACACACTAATGCTAAGAAAGAAGTAGTTAATACTCGTATTTCTTTCCAAATAATCATCGTAGATACATCATGATCATTAGTAAGCTGTACCATGTAGAGACGGCATTTGTGCATTCAAGGGACAACCAACCTGATTCACTCTAGTTTGCCACAATTTGTTAATATAAAATCCACGTCTACTGAACAACCGCTCAGTCACAGCTTGACCAGGCCGACCTCCAATATTGAAGATGAGCCTCCCGGTGGGTCTTATGATTGAAATACCCTCCTCAGCAGCTCTTGCAACCAAACCCAGCCCAAATTGATCCTCAACAAATCCCTGCAAACGAGAGCTCACAAACTTAATGCATGATAAAGCAACTTGGACATTCTTCCCTGCTCGCACTTCAACCTTGCAACAAGAACTTGAATTCACAGTACATGTGATGGTTGAGCGCCCGACATTGTCTAGGTGGCTATCTGCACAATTATCCTATTACTGAGACATTCATGGGCGCGGATAAACGAATTAAAGACAGCCAAAGGTCACTCTGCAGCAATGCAGGTCCTGTGCCTGTGGATTTTAAGCATGCAGCAAAGGTGCCACGACTATTCTCTTCAAGATAAGGATTCTTATGAAGTCCCTGCAGCAAAAAGTAAGAACATTGTTGAGAGACATAAGTTGCATAATATGCTCGAAGGGCTGATGGTAGCTTATTTGGATGTACCTGAAGACCACAGTAATTGCTGAGAGAGTACAAGAACTCCTCACTGGCATTCTCGGTAATCAGTTTGGACATAGCTGATGGATCAGGATTCAAGATCTGTATAGCCAGAATCAATCAAAAAGTTTAGCTGCGATCACAATCAGCAGAATTCCACTGAAACGCAAACTTATGAAAATTGGACTGGCATAAACATCTATTATATGCAGCTCACATAGCTCAAAACCTCTAGCAATGCACAAAACCAGAGACGTGAAGTGTATTACCTGTGGTATACAACCAACTATGAGATCCATCGTCAGATGTTGCTCTCTGCAGTAGGCGAGCAAGTCTGAAACATAAAATTCCACCCTATCCAAGAGAGTCTTGCCCTCGTGATCAAGAACAGGCAAGCCATCATCGTTTAGCGCATTCAAGTACAGGTTGATCCACGCCACCTTGATTGCCCTTGGATTAATGTCAAGCCCGATGACCTGATATTCTTCCCACATTCATCCACTTTAGAATCACCTCTGAACATATAACTGAAGACGGCACCGGCTCTTACCCAAGAGACGCTGAAAGTCAACCCAGTGCAAATGTTAAGAGGAAGTGCAGTCCCGGAAGCTCATGCAACACCCTCAAACATTGTTAGGGAACTATGATTCTTGCCTTTCGTGGCAACCATCGCTCTGCCATTGCAATCGACACCCATCCATTACCGCAACCCAGCTCTGTCACATCCCGATCTCTAAATCCAGTGTCTGGATGCCTGCTGATGCCTTCAAAGAAAGTGAACGACCAATCTTCAGGTATGAAAATGCTAGGCAACTCTAACAATGTCAGACTTTGTCTATTTTCCCTGAAACCTATGCATGAAACAGTCCAACACAAGACAGCACAAAGGTCAGTCCAGCAATACCCAAGGATTCACAGTGCATCGAACTGTACAATTGCTTTGATTACTATCTACAGAAGATTTCATTCATCAACATCACACGAGGCTGATTGCACCAACAATATGCACAGGGGCGTAATAAATTGAGAGTAGGGTTAAGCAAATTTCAAGAATTACAATCCACAAGGACATCTCACTGTAGATCATAAGTGAAGATCAAGACGTAGGCTATTCCATTGTACATAAAAAAATCAGAGCTACTGGAGACACAAGACAATGCGAACGGAAGAAAATAGACATCAAGCAATACCTTCGTAATCAGTAAGAGAGAGCCGATGGAGACGAAAATGGTAAGTAGCCATGCTGTTCACCTCAGGCACTTGTTTTTCCACATACTTCTCTACGGCCGCAAGAATCTTCCTGGCGTCAGCACGAGTCTCAGGGTTGTGTAGCCTCTCAAGCACACCCTTGATCGCATTGTACGCATTGTCCCCCGAGACCTTGCATTGCTCCAGAAACTCACTCACCTCAACATCATTTGTCGTCGTCATCCCCATCTTGAAACCCTTCCACTTTCTCCCTCACTTCACACCACCCCAACCCTCACCGGAAAAAACAACAATAACAACGATCCTCCAGACCACAGAAGCCCTTGGGAGTATTACGCAGACTGGCCCCAACAGAGCACCTTAACTATGATCACCCTCGTGCAATTGCCTGACAAAACCATACAATCTCCACTATGATATCAATACGTCAAGATGGAAAATGCCGGTAATCATCCGATCGAAGCACTCACAGAAGGTTCTCAACAATTGACAAACCCATGATGCATTCATAAACTCAATTACCACCACTTGGATCCAAAATGCAACGTAGCTGAAGAAAAAAAAAACACAAAATGGGGTCCGTCAAACAGCCTTGACGACAAGACCCACAATCAAAAACAACCCTCCACGATCCAATCCTTCGATCCAGATCACCTCTACACAACCATCAAACACGAAACCGAAATCCTTCTACTCAAACACTCAAAAGACAGCCGCTACATAATGCCTAAACGTACCCAAATTGGGATGAGTTGCGGACGAGGCAATCGGGGATTGAGCTTGGACGCCACGACACGCGGATCCACGTGAGGGGCTAAAAATGGAAGGCGAGTGGATGCGATGCTGCAAGAAGCGGGAGCACATGGGCAGCGAGATTGATGCAAGACGACAGAGTAGAGTAGAATAGAGAGCAATTTAGCTAACAGCAGAGATGGCAGTGATGCGTCATGCGATCCGATGGCCACGAACATGAATCGGAGGCTGTCAGAAAAGCGGGATATAAAGCTCAATCAGGGTGGCGGCGATGCTAAATTTGAAGCCTCACCCTGACGCCCCCCTGACTCACTCCGACGCGTCGCCATGGCCATGACCCCTTCGCTCGTCCGTCCCTCCCTCCCATTCGTCCCTCCCATTCGTTCATCCATACCCTCCGTCTGATTCCTCTGTTCCTTTCGTCCGCCCGTTCCCTCCCTCCCTTAAGTTCGTCCCTTCCGTCCGTCCGTCCGTCCATGCTTCCATCTGTCGGTTTATTTCAAATTCTCCAGTCGGGCCAAGTGATGAATGAAATACATCCTCCATGGATAGATGTGGGTTGAGAAAACGTAGATGGATACGATCGAATCTGTACATAGATGATATGAACTCAGTAGATGGATGGATGATATCTATCGATGTGTGGAATAATATCGGTGGATGGATGAGGTGGATGATAACCCTGGATGGTAATGTGGACGATATAAGTGGATGGTTGTATAGAGGGTGTCTGTGGATGGATGAGAATGAATGTACGAGTATATGGATGGATGAGAATGAATGGACGAGTATATGGATGAGCGATAATGTAGTTGCAAAAATAGATATACGTATTTTGAATAAGGAGTATTTTTGTAAGGTATACTTTGCTAAGGAAATGTATGACTTCAATTCTTAGATTTCTATTGTTGTATTGAAATTTTATTATGATATTGTATTTTTTGTTTTAATATTATGTGGATTACACTTTTGACGATATTTTATTACTGGCATTAATATGGTATTATTTGTTTATTAATGTTTGAATGCATGCCATGTTTAACTCGAATAAAATTCTGTTGTTATTTTCATCAGTAAAACTTAAACTTAAACATTTTGACATAATTTATATATTACTAAAATAATAATAATATTGAATTATGAAATCTTATATTGATGATTGTAATAATATATTAATATATAGTATTATTATTAATATTATTATTATTATTACTTTGTAAAAGAGACATTAAATTACAATGAAATATTTCAGTTATTATGTTTTATTTACAAAAATAGTTGATGTGTATATTTTCTTTTCAATATATATTGAATCAAAGTGTGTTTTTTTTTTTTTTTTTTTTTAATTAAAATTATCACTCATCTTATACTTCATTTTTTTCTTCTTATTTATTTATTTCTTTATTTATTTTATTGAACTAATACTTTGATGATTTTTAAATATAACACATGAACAAATATTTTTACTATAGCAAACCAAATATAATTCTACAACCAAAAATTATGTCAATAAAACTAATCAATTAATGTAAAAAAATGTTTAGTTATATATATATATATATATATATATATATATATATATAATTTTGTGATGATTATTTAATCAGATAATGTTTAAAAGTATATAATTTGCAATAGAAAATAACATATATATTAAAACTTGAGTTTTAAAAAATATTTGTTAAATTAAAAATTAGATGTAATATATATATATATATATATATATATATATATATAATGTCATTGTTCTTTTTGCAATTCCTACCACAACCTTTTATCTTCCATATATCACTCTTTTTTAATACCTTTCAAGTTAGTCAATTGAAAAATACACATTAATTAGAATAATAAAAATCAAGGAAACATATCAAGTAGGTGGTGAGTTGGAGTGGCACTTGAAAAAACTTTTGTAGCATTAATGATATTATATATATATATATATATATATATGAATTTTGTCATAATAATGTAATTTATTAAGATAAATTTATTTTATTATTTGATAATATGAAAATAAATAAGTAATTTATAAAGTTTATTATTTTAAAATAAAATTTAGATAAAATACAAATATTTTTCAATAATTAGAAAAAAATAATATAGAAATTTATTTTTTTAGAAAGTATTTTTTTGTTACTATTGAACATTAATGTGATAAAGATAGCAAAATGATATCAAGAGTTATATTTTTATTGCTATCACTTTTTATTCACCTAAAATATTTATTATTATAAATATCTTCCATCACCAACATCCATAATCCACTTTGAACACTTCAAATTAGTACTATAAAGTTTCTTGGATTGCTAAGATTATAATGTGTTTGATTATTATCATGTTACTCTTTAGTTTTGTATTTCCATATTCATCAAATTTGACATAAATTAAAAAATTAAACTTTTATACAAAAATTTGAATTAAAATTAATATTATTGCTACTATTTTTTGCAAATACAATTTTCCACATCTTGAATTTCTTCAACATATGAAGCTCACTCTTTGTGAAATTCATTCCTAGAAAGAGGGATAATATCATGGATATACATACGTATTTTAGAAAATATATATGTATGATTAAATATAAATAAAAAATAGATAAAAATAGGTTAATTTCATAATATCTTTTAGAGAAGCTTTTTAGAAGCTATATAGATGTTGCTTTGATTTTACATGTGTTTGTAATTGATTGGTGGATTAGAAACTTAGTCAACAAGTTTACCATGTATTGGTAGCTTACATAACAAACTAACTTTGTAGTATACATAAAAAAAACTTGCCTTGCAAGTTAAATTATGTATCTTATAAAATCAACACGTTTTAGTGGTTGTATAGGACATCACTATATAGCTCCTAGTTAAGAATATATATGGAGGCAAGAGTAAAGCCTTCTTCATTCTTCTCAATGCCTTTTTAGTCTTAAGTCTTGTTTTGGGCCTTTCTAGTCTTTTTGTTTTTGGCAATATCTATTCTAGTTGATTAATATATCATCTTTGAGTGACTTTCTAGTTCTTTTTAGTGTCACAAGAGTGTATTGAGGATTTTTTTTTTGAGATTCATGTCCTTGACTACTATGGAGATATAAATATTATATGCATGCATTGCAATACAAAGATATAACTTTTAGAGCACATGCTTAACTTATTTTAATACAATTTGTTCTTTTCATTATGTTGGAAGTATAGAAACATTCAATTGCTAATACTTTTTGTAATGCTACTTGAATTATAAATTCTTTTTCTATAGATTGATACTAAATTTTGTAAAAAAATTTACAAATTTAATTTTTTCTTTTGCTTTCACATCATTTAATATGAATATTGATGAATTAATGATCCATACATCTAATTCACATGTTTTTTTGTATTTATAATTAGTTATATTATTAAATTAGAACATTGCTATTATAAAAATAGATATTTATATTGTATACAAATTTATATATATAATATAAAGAATAAATGATAAAATTACTCTATTATAATTCTTGTAATAAATGGTTCTATATTTATATAGTTGGATGAAATGCTATATTATATAAACATTTATATATATATATATATATATATATATATATATATACATGTATTCAAAATAATTTATGAAAAAGTGACAAAAGGTAATGTAATACTATAGTGATATGAAGGATACGAATTCAAACAAGATATATAAACACGAGAAATGTCTATCAAAGAAAGATGATAAATAATAAATAAAGAAATATAGATATTTTTTTAATAAAAAAACTAAAAAGAAAAAATGCAATAAAAAATAAAATTATAGGCCCTTGAAACTAGATTAGAAGCAAAAAAGAAGTTGACAAGAGTGAGAAAGCCCTTACTTTTGTCTTTATATATATTATCTTACTTGCAAGAGATATATAATTTGCAATGTAAGTTTCCTATATGTATATTGCATATTCAACTTATACTACAAGTTGCCAATGTATGTGACACATTGCCATTTTTTTGACTAAATTTTAAGCTATCAATCACCTATAGATAGATATAAAGATAAATCTATTTTTGTAAAGCTTCTTCATAAGATATTATCAAATTTATCTACTTCTAACTATTTCTATGATAAGCAATAAAGACTACATTTGATAGAGTCATATATCCAAGATGGACTTCAATATAATAATTCAATTGCTAATGAAGTGGTAATTTTGATAATAGGATATAATTCTAAAGTAATTGAAAATAGTGATGTTTTGTTACATTAGAATGATAAACAACTATGATACTATTTCAATAGAATATATTTATAAAAAGGTATAAATTAGATATTTATATTATTGACACATAAAGATAAATAATTGGAATCATGTTTGAGAAGTTATGGAAGTTTCTAGAATTGAGGCTAGATTAGTGGATTTTCTAGGATCCATCGTGAAACATTCTAGAAAGAGCTTAGGACAATTATCTAAGTAGAATCTACCATGAAACCTTTTGAAAAGGACTTAGGACAATTATCTAGGTGGAGTCCACGATAGAACCTTCTAAAAAAAATTAAGGACGATTATCTAAGTGGAATCCCTCATATAAGAACTTCTAAAAAGTCCATGGTGATTGAACAATATATAAATAGGATTGACTAGGGCTTTTTGGACAACTGATTAGGTATAGCTTGAGACATTTTTTTTTTAGTAAAATTTGGTTTTGAATTTTCTTGTTCAATTCTATTTTATTCTATTTTCATTTCCTTTGTTTTGACTTTTGTGTCCTATTTTGTTTAATTTTGTTTAGTTTTGTTTTGGTCCATTTTTTCTTAGTTTGTATTGAAGTTTTATGTTGTTGTGGATTAAAAGGATCTTAAACTCTCAAGATAGATTGGTCATCTTTTAATACTAATACAAATTTTTTTAGACAATATATTATTATTTATTTAGTGACAAAACCTAAAACATGATATAAACCTATTAAGATGCTATAGTAATTTATAAATGAAATAGAGGATTATTTATATGTTTTTTTAATC